TGGCTTAGCTTTAATTTTTTTTTTTTTTTTTTGTAGAATTTTTTATATAAATGTATGTAAAATACAGTTAGTGCTTTATTTGAAGCACTTCAGGAGTCTGAAATCATTGCAACAATTTATTCACTGTAGCTAGTTACAGAAAATAAAAGTTGCTGTAGTTTAATGTGTTTCTGTGTGTTTATATTTTTATTAATAAAGTATATCAATCTTAAACTTTTTTTAATTAATATTATAAGCAATATGCTGATTCTAAAGGCAACAGGAACAAAATTCCATCATTGTTTGGTAACAGAAATACTGTATGTATACATGTACAGTGATCCATACAGATTTGTGGGTTGATGCTGAAAGACATGCAAATAATTTAGCATTTCATTTTTATTTTAATGCCTATTTTCCTTTGTTGCAGTGCATGACCTGCAATTTTAAAACTGACCATGAGTTCTATTAAAAAATGTGATCATAGGATTTCCCACATCAAAATCTCTCATTTTTTAAATACAGTATTCTTTTTTATAAAAAATATAATTTTTAAATAGCATTCTTTCTTATAAAATGTGATTAGAGAAATCTTAAATGTGGTGCTGTATGACCCTTGTGGGTTTAGTGCTTAGTTTTGACTATAATTTAAATGCGATGGCCAGTCAAACAAAATCCCAAGTCTGAAAAAATAATTTATATACGTAGATAGCATTTACTGGCATTCATAGTTGCACTCCTCTTTAAGGGGGGTACCCCTCAAGGAAGGTTCCTTGATGTTGGTGAGGGGCTCTTGATTTAGGGAATTGGATCTGTGCTCCAGTTCCCCGAATTAAGCCTGAATGCCTTCCACATCCCCCCCCCCCAGGCGCTGTATAATCCTCCGGGTTTAGCGCTTCCCCCTTGATTATAATGATAATTTAAGGGGGGTAAGGGGGGGCTCTTTGTTGTGGTAAAGAGGTTATTGGTCTGAGGAATTGGACCTTTTAGTCTTCTTTCTCAGACCGAACCTATTTACCCCCCAATACCCCTTCCCTATCCCATCCTCTCTATCCCTCCCCTCCCTTTCCTCCTCTCACCAATCCCCTGCCTGTTTTCAACCTTGGGTTCTTCTCTCAGGCATTCTAGTTCCTAGGTAAGGGAGAGGGTACTGTGGTCCAACCCATTCCATTGAGGTCCTTGGTGGTGGTGTAGTTTGCCGTGGAATCTGGATCGCCTGGGGATGTCCCATTCCCTCTCCGGTTCTCGGGGGATGGCTTTGGGTGTCTTGACAATGACAAGAACAATGTTTATTTCCTTGTAAAGCTTACAATGTGTGGTTTACATGTTATAAAGTATTAATTACAAAGAAGGCCACTAGCATGTCTAGGCATTTTAGGCAGACTAATACTAATTCTATATTGATATAGGTTATGAAGCAGTACATTTGAACGTACATTACAGTATTAGATACATACATAATTAGATTTATAATAGTGAGGTAGTACAAACATATAACAATATTACAAATGGTAAATTTAGTAATGAGATTGAATTTGTTTTGGCATGATACACTGTTTCTATTAAAACTCCTATATTGGAAGAGTATCTTAGGCAAACTTAGGACTTAAGATTTAATAGGCAATAGCTATATATTAGGAATTTTATATTTACAGTCATTTGGGTGAGTGTATGTGTAAATCTGGGGGAATTACAGATAATGAGAGTAGACTATATTGTTTTGGATGTGTTCATGATACAGAAAATGAGAATTAGGTGCTTTTCATTTGGTTAGCTGATGATGGGGTGTCTTGGGGAGATGAGATGTTTTTTAACGGTAGTTTTGAGAGTGGTGGTTGAGTCTGCTGTTCTAGTGTTTTCGGGTAGGGCATTCCAAATTTTAGACCCTTTTATGCACATCAAATTTTTGTAGAGGTTTAGCCGGACACGAGGAATGTCATGGAGATTTTTGTGTCTGGTACTGTTTCTATTGGTCCTGTTGCAACTATCAAGAAAGTGTTTTAGTTCAGGGATAATATTAGAATTTATGGTTCTGTAGATGTAGGTTGCACAGTAGTAGGTGTGAATGTTCTGTACAGTGAGTAGGTTTAGATCTTTGAAGAGTAGGGGGGGTGTGTTGTCTAGCATTGGATTGCATGATAATTCTTACTGTGGCTTTCTGTTGGGTTATTATTGGCTTTAGGTGAGTTGCTGCTGTTGATCCCCAGGCACAAATAGCATAGGTGAGGTAGGGAGAGACGAGTGAATAGTATAGTGTGAGTAGGGCTGATTGTGGTACATTGTCGCTGTATAGCCCTTGTGGCTTAGCGCTTCTTTTTGATTATAATAATAACGTGGTACATTGTAACGTATCTTGGAGAGGACCCCCAACTGTTATGGATACTTTTTTTGTTATTTGTTGGATATGGGTGTTGAATTTCAGGTTGCTGTCAAGGTGCAGGCCCAGGAATTTGCCCTCATTACGTTTAGCAGTTAGTGTGTTGTCAATCATTATGTTCTGCCGGGCAACTTCTGTTCTGTTCTCAAACATAATGTAGAAGGTATTGTCAGTATTAAGTGTAAGTTTACTAGCAGTCATCCATGTTGATATTTTTACAAGCTCTTCGTTAACAATAGTGTTGCGTGAGGCAAGATTAGAGTGGGAGATGACGTAAGTCGTGTCGTCAGCAAAAAGAATAGGTTTAAGGTGTTGTAATACATTAGGAAGATCATTGATGCATAAGAGGAAGAGCAGGGGACCAAGGACACTTCCCTGCAGTACTACAGTATTCAGTAGTCTTATTGATGAGGTTATGTCCTTAATAGAGACGTATTGATGCCTGTTAGTAAGGTAGGATTTGAAATATGTAAGTGCGTGGCCTCTTATGCCATAATGATCAAGTTTGTGGAGGAGGATGCTGTGGTCTACTGTATCAAATGAGTACAAATGAGTATTACAAAGACAGGTCATATGGTCATTTAATGTGTTGCTGTGTAATCAGCAGAATGGAGTATTCTGTTAGGTAATGAAGTTAAATAGTAACAAAGTTTGATTGGGTCACAGGTTGACATTTATGAGATACAATAATGAGATACATATATGAGATACAATTTATGAGATACAATTATTTAGTATTTATTTAGTTGTGGGTGAGTAAGTGATTTTTGAGAAGAGACTTGAATTTATAAATAGACAGTGTTTCTTTTATATTCACAGGTAATGAATTCCAGAGTTTAGGGCCTTTTATGTGCATTGAGTTTTTGCATAGCGTGAGATGGACACGAGGAACATCAAAGAGTGATCTGTGCCTTGTGTTATGGTCATGTGTTCTGTTAAGGTTGGTAAGGAGATGTTTGAGGGGAGGGTTTATGTCAGGGTTAAGTGTTCTATGCATGTAGTAGGTGCAGTAATAAGTATGGATGTTTTGAATTGTGAGTAGGTTTAGAGTTTTGAATATTGGTGGAGTGTGTTGTCTGTAGTGGGAAATTGTTATCATTCTGTCTGCAGCCTTTTGTTGGGTGATTAGTGGTCTGAGATGGTTTATTGTTGTTGAGCCCCATGCACAAATTCCATAGGTGAGATAGGGGTAAATAAGTGAGTGATATAGGGCCAGGAGGGCTGACTGTGGAACATAGTACCGTATCTTCGATAGTATGCCTACGGTCTTGGAATTTTTTTTTGGAAATTTGTTGTATATGTGTTTGAAATTTGAGTCTATTATCAAGGTAGATTCCTAAGAATTTTTCCTCTGTGAGTTGTGATAGGTGATCCATTTATCATTATGTTTAGAGACACATCTGTAGCTCTGTTACCAAACTGAATGTAGTAGGTTTTGTCATGTTTAGAGTAAGTTTGTTGGTCCTCATCCAGGTTGATATTTTCTGTAATTCGGTATTTACAGCATTGGCTAACATGACTGGGCTCGAGTGAGAGTAGACGTATGTAGTGTCGTCTGCAAATAGTGTGGGTTTGAGTAGTTGCGATGCATTTGGTAGGTCATTTATGTATATGAGAAAGAGAAGAGGGCCTAGAACACTTCCCTGTGGGACACCAACTGTAATTGGCTGTGCGGAAGAGTTTGCCCCATTTGTATTCACATATTGGCTTCTGTTGCTGAGGTATGACTTTAGGTAGTTGAGGGAGTGCCCTCTTATACCATAGTGCGACAATTTCATGTGGAGCAAGTCGTGGTCAACTGTATCGAAAGCTTTACGTAAGTCAATGAAGATCCCCAGTGGGACTTCTTTTTTCTCTATTGCTGTATAAATATGTTCTAGCATGTGGATAATAGCGTCATTAGTATTTTTATTAGGCCTGAACCCAAATTGACAGGGGTTGAGTATGTTGTGGGAGATGAGGTAGGAATAGATACTCTTATGTTTTAATTTTTCAAAGATTTTAGAGAGAGGGTGTAAGTTGGATATTGGACTATAGTTATTCAAGTCTGTGTGGTCTCCTTTATGGATCGGGGTGACCCTTGCTATTTTAAGAACTGTAGGAAAGGTAGAGGATTCAATGGATTTGTTAAAGAGTGTTGCAATGATTGGTGATAGCACCTGTGACACTTTTTTGTATATAATGGGTGGTAAGGTATTTAAATCTCCTGTTTTGTTTTTTAGTTTGTTGATAATAAGGGAGACTTCAGTTGGGTTAGTCGGAGCTAGGAACAGTGTGTTCGGGTAGTTGCCAGTGAGGTAATCATTGGGTGGGGTATCTGAGCTTGGGATTTTATTGGCAAGGTTTTTTCCTATAGTGGAGAAGAAATCATAGAGTCTGTTTGCTGTTTCAATAGGTGGGAATTGGGGTTCATCTGGTTTTGTTAATTCAATTTCGCTATTTCGTGTTAACTTTTTTGTTCCTAGTATTTCTGATAATAAAATTTTAAATTTAAAGTCTGACTTTTTTGGGTTATCCCAGGTTCTCTACACATATGCTGCTATATATGATAATTCTATGTAACTGTATTTGTGTATGCCCGAATAAACTTACTAAGGAAAGTGGTAGTATGGAGGCTGCTCAGTGTGTGACAACCACTCCAGAAGCAGGTGCTGTATTCAGGAAGAATAAGTTTTGGTTGCCCTTAAAATCCCCAGCAACACCAACTGGTGGTTTATTAGGAAGGTTGCTGTTATACTGCCAGGGTTGCTGGTCTCGTCTTGGCATAATTACCAGTTCAGCAAGACACTAGCAACAGTGTGATTGGGCAGCAGGAATATATAGTGACAACTCTTGGGTTATTTACATTATGTATGACAATTGAATAGTTCACTAATTTAATTAGTTTAAAATACCGTGTGTATTGACTAATCCCGGGTTCGATTCCCGGCGGGTGGAAACATTTCGACACGTTTCCTTACACCTGTTGTCCTGTTCACCTAGCAGCAAATAGGTACCTGGGTGTTAGTCGACTGGTGTGGGTCGCATCCTGGGGGACAAGATTAAGGACCCCAATGGAAATAAGTTAGACAGTCCTCGATGACGCACTGACTTTCTTGGGTTATCCTGGGTGGCTAACCCTCCGGGGTTAAAAATCCGAACGAAATCTTAAATTATCTTCTTATCATATCACATTAGCTTTTTAACTTAATTTTTGCCTCACGACGCCCTTGTGGCTTAGCGCTTCTTTTTGATTATAATAATAATTTGCCTCACGTCAGTACATACCAGCTACATAAACTTGGAGATCCTCACCTGACTGCTACTATGCACAACTTAAATATTATTTTACACTTTTCAGTATGTACAACTTGTGTACATCATGGAATGAGTATTTCTTCTGCATATTGGCTCGGTTAGGTTAAGTTAGGTAAGGTAAGTTAGTTTGGTTAGGTTAGGTAGCTTAACCTAAAAATGTCACGTCTTTATTCATATTCAGCCGGCACAAGACAAGCCTTGGTATGCTGCATGACTAATATTAATGTACGGTAGAAAAACTTCAGTTGTGTGGTCGTAGCTTGCATTTTCAGTATTCTGCAATTTAAATTTAGGTTTTCATTTCCAATGGAGACTCACCATTACCATTAAGGTATGCCAGAATGGAATTCCTTTCCATTTTGGTGCCAATGCCGTTATAAGGAATGTCATGGCAGGCAGGAAGGAGGCCCATCACTACACATTGAACAACTCTATTTTAGTATTCTGTATAGTCCTTGTGGCTTAGCGCTTCTTTTTGATTATAATAATAATAATAATATTTTAGTATTGCAGGGAAGGTTGAGAGGGAGGGTGAATGGATGTAAAGAGCCTCCCACATGAATCACTATCATCACTCACTTTTTACGTTTCATTGCTTAATTTCACTTCTGGTTAATTGTCATGGCATCAAGTGCAGGTGAATGTAACCCGTGTGAATTACGAATGTTCACTGTACTCATTTTCCTTATTCTCCCAAAATAACTATTTGTGCAAGAAATAATTATTTATTCTATGATGTCCATAGATTGTACTGTATGTATTGAAGTGTACAATAATGATTGAATGCCACTAAGTTGCCTTGAAAATATTGAAGGGCTCTTGATCTGAGGAATTGGAGCTACCTGTTTCCTCAGATCAAAGCTGATTAACCCTTATTCCTCAGATGCTGTATGACCTATCTGTTTAGTGCTTCCACATGAATATACAGTTTATAATTGAGAATGTGTGTAAAGGTAGAAAGTTGAAAGTGAACATAGAAAAGAGTAAGGTGATGAGGGTATCAAATGATTTAGATAAAGAAAAATTGGATATCAAATTGGGGAGGAGGAGTATGGAAGAAGTGAATGTTTTCAGATACTTGGGAGTTGACGTGTCGGTGGATGGTTTTATGAAGGATGAGGTTAATCATAGAATTGATGAGGGAAAAAAGGTGAGTGGTGCGTTGAGGTATATGTGGAGTCAAAAAAATGTTATCTATGGAGGCAAAGAAGGGAATGTATGAAAGTATAGTAGTACCAACACTCTTATATGGATGTGAAGCTTGGGTGGTAAATGCAGCAGCGAGGAGACGGTTGGAGGCAGTGGAGATGTCCTGTCTAAGGGCAATGTGTGGTGCAAATATTATGCAGAAAATTCGGAGTGTGGAAATTAGGAGAAGGTGTGGAGTTAATAAAAGCATTAGTCAGAGGGCAGAAGAGGGGTTGTTGAGGTGGTTTGGTCATTTAGAGAGAATGGATCAAAGTAGAATGACATGGAAAGCATATAAATCTATAGGGGAAGGAAGGAGGGGTAGGGGTCGTCCTCGAAAGGGTTGGAAAGAGGGGGTAAAGGAGGTTTTGTGGGCTAGGGGCTTGGACTTCTAGCAAGCGTGCATGAGTGTGTTAGATAGGAGTGAATGGAGGCGAATGATACTTGGGACCTGACGATCTGTTGGAGTGTGAGCAGGGTAATATTTAGTGAAGGGATTCAGGGAAACCGGTTATGTTCATATAGTCGGACTTGAGTCCTGGAAATGGGAAGTACAATGCCTGCACTTTAAAGGAGGGGTTTGGGATATTGGCAATTTGGAGGGATATGTTGTGTATCTTTATACGTATATGCTTCTAAGCTGTTGTATTCTGAGCACCTCTGCAAAAGCAGTGATAATGTGTGAGTGTGGTGAAAGTGTTGAATGATGATGAAAGTATTTTCTTTTTGGGGATTTTCTTTCTTTTTTGGGTCACCCTGCCTCGGTGGGAGACTGCCGACTTGTTGAAAAAAAAAAAAAAAAAAAAGTCTTCTTCTCCCTACATTTCCTGCATTTAATTTTCAGTATGTATCCTCATAGTTAATTATTTTTCAGAGATAAATTACAGTACAGAAATAAGATGGCTGCATTAGTTCGAATTAAACGCCGATTTACTGAAGAGCCAACAGATAGTATTGTTGTGAAACCTAAACGTTTGAGGGTTGAGGGTGCAGCTGCTGCTGATCTAAAAGATGTCTCTCCAGCTATTTTAGAAAGAATTGCAACAGTGAATTCAAAGGTGAGGCTTTTAATAGTGACGACAAGATACTATTGCTCTTACAGTGGGTTCTATTCCTTTATGATATATAGTATTCTATACTGTAACTACTGTTTAATTATAAATATGGACTAATATGAGAAGTTTGAAGGGTCATACCTGTGACCAATTTTGAGTTCACCTGGGACCAGGATACAAGGAAAACTGTTATTACAGTAATCCATAGGAACAGCAGATTCAGCCCTGCTATACGTTTACCAATGTCATGCATATTTGTTATATAATATTTCTTATTACTGTATTTTCTGGGGTATAAGGAGCACAAGCATATATGGTGCACCCCAATTTTGGCAGGCTTATTCTGGGAAAAAAAAGATTCTGTACTTGCTTCAAAATGTAGCTGGCTGCTTATATAAACAGCATAGCTGAAGAGGTGGAACCTTGTGTAACCTCTTGTCTTCCCCACTGCTAACAGCCACCAAAACAGACAAGGCTACCAGTTGTTTACAGACAGCTACTTTACAATTATTTACAACTGCTGAATCTGTTTTGCTTGTCACATACCAGTAATATGTAAATTATATTTTATAATTACCAGTCACTCTCCACTAATCCAGGAAATGGTCTTGTACAGGGTGTTTAGACTTTAATATATCAGTTCTGCAGCACTGAAGCAACCACTTGCCAGTAACTCTTGTTCCTGACCTTGAACATACAAGGATCAGGATGATTTTCTGAGAATTTTTTTTCTGCAGTGGCTTAGCACTTCTTTTTTATTATAATAATAATGCAGTGGGGGGAGGGGGGCAGACCTTACATGCCAGAAAATATGGTACATGTCTTCTCGCTCCTTACTCCTCATCCCCTCCAGGGAAGTGCCTTGATGCCCTGAGGGGCTTTTGATCGAAGAAATTAGACCTATGTTCCCCATTGATTGTACCTGAATGCTTCCTATTCTCCCTGGAGCTGTATGACCCCCAAAAGGTTTAGTGTTCCCCAAGAATGTAATAAAATCCTTACACTTCATTTATAAAGGTATGGGTATAAGCATTTTTATCTTTAGCTCAGCTAACCATTCTATCAATAAAGATCGAGAACCAAAACCTAGTCATTGTGGTTGTATACAAGCCACCAGATGCAACCTCACAACAGTTCAAGGAACAGCTACTGAAAATTGATTACTGTTTGGAAAACCTTCCAGCTCCATCCCCAAACATCTTACTGCTTGGTGATTTCAACCTAAGGCATACAAAATGGAAGAATGTAGCAAATAATGTTATAACTGAAACAATCCCCAGAGGTAGCGCAGATGAAAGGTCACACACACATGAGCTACTAAGCCTCTGCGAAAAACACACCTTAAGCCAGCAGATAGTGGAGCCAACAAGATTAGAAAACACACTTGACCTTATCTTCACAAATAATGAGGACCTGATAAGAGACATAAGAATATCAAAAACAACTAATTCCGATCACAACCTAATCGAAGTCCAGACGTACATGCGTAGGGGTCCTGATCAGCAGAATGCATGTACCTGTGAAGGTGTCTTCACAAAATACAACTTCAACAACAAGAACATCAACTGGGACCAGGTAAACCATGTCCTAAATGAAACATGTTGGGAAGATGTCATAAATGACATGGATCCAAACCAGTGCCTTGAAAGGATCAACTTCCTGGCAGCCGAAGCATGTTCTAGGCATATTCCCCTAAGAAAGAAGAAGAGCAGGAGTAAACTGGAGAGAGAAAGACGCTCCCTCTACAGAAGACAACGAAGAGTCGCTGAGCTCCTCAGGAGTGCTAGAATATCTGATACACGAAAGGAGGCTCTGACCAGGGAAGTAGAAACTATCGAACTTAAGTTAAATGACTCTTACAGGAACCAGGAGAGGCAGGAGGAGCTTAAAGCTATTAGTGAAATTGAAAGAAATTCAAAATATTTCTTTTCATATGCCAAAAAAAAGGCAAATACCACATCTAGTATCGGGCTCTTACTCAGACAGGATGGGACTTACACAGATAACAAGGAAATGAGTGAAATATTGAAATCCCAGTACGACTCTGTGTTTAGTGTACCACTAATCGGTCTGAGGATCGACGACCCAAATGATTTCTTCATGAATAAGCCTCAAAACTCCATAAATGTATGCCAGATTTCCGACATTACCCTAACTTCGATAGATTTTGAAAAAGCCATTGACAACATGCCTATGCACTCAGCCCCGGGCCCAGGCTCGTGGAACTCTGTTTTCATTAAGAACTGCAAGAAACCCCTCTCGCGTGCCCTAAGTACACTATGGAGGAGCAGCTTGGACATGGGTGAAATTCCACAGTCACTTAAAACAACGGATATAGCCCCACTCCATAAAGGTGGTAGCAAAGCATTAGCAAAGAACTATTTATAGTTCTGACGTCCCACATCATAAAAATCTTTTGAAAGAGTGCTAAGAAGCAGGATTGCAAATCACCTGGATTCCCAAAATCTGCACAATCCAGGGCAACATGGGTTCAGGGTAGGTCGCTCCTGCCTCTCACAACTACTGGATCACTATGACATGGCCTTGGATGCACTGGAAGAAAATCAGAATGCAGATGTAATATACACAGACTTTGCAAAAGCATTTGATAAATGCGATCATGGCGTAATAGCCCATAAAATACGTACTAAAGGAATAACTGGGAAAGTGGGGAGATGGATCTTCAACTTCCTAACAAATTGAACACAGAGTAGTGGTCAACAGAGTTAAATCGGAGGCTGCCATAGTGAAGAGCTCTGTTCCACAAGGCACAGTACTCGCCCCCATCTTATTCCTTATCCTCATATCAGACATAGACAGATATATACACCACAGCACCGTATCATCCTTTGCGGATGATACTAGGATCTGCATGAGGCTGTCATCTGCTGAGGATGCGGTTAACCTCCAAGAAGATATAAACAAAGTTTTCCAGTGGGCAACGGTAAACAATATGATGTTCAATGAGGACAAATTCCAACTACTCTGTTATGGAAAATTGGAGGAGATAATAACTAGAACAGAGTATACTACTGACTCTGGCCATACAATAGAGCAGAAAAATAATGTAAGGGACCTGGGAGTAGTAATGTGTGAGGATCTCACTTTCAAGGATCACAACAGTGCCACGATTGCACGTGCAAAGAAAATGATAGGATGGATAATGAGAACTTTCAAAACGAGAGATGCCAAGCCAATGATGATCCTTTTCAAATCACTTGTCCTCTCTAGGCTGGAATGCTGCTGTACATTAACATCTCCATTCAAAGCAGGTGAAATCGCAGATCTAGAGAGTGTACAGAGATCCTTTACTGCACGTATAAGTTCTGTCAAGCACCTTAACTACTGGGAATGCTTGGAAGCACTTGACTTGTACTTGTTGGAACGCAGGAGGGAGAGATATATCATAATCTACACTTGGAAAATCTTGGAAGGAATGGTCCCAAATCTGCACACACAAATCACTCCCTACGAAAGTAAAAGACTGGGCAGGCGATACAAAATGCCCCCAATAAAAAGTAGGGGCGCCATTGGTACACTAAGGGAAAACACCGTAAGTGTCCGGGGCCCAAAACTGTTCAACAGCCTCCCATCAAGCATTAGGGGAATTGCCAATAAGCCCCTGGCTGCCTTCAAGAGAGAGCTGGACAGATACCTAAAGTCAGTGCCGGATCAGCCGGGCTGTGGCTCGTACGTTGGACTGCGTGCGGCCAGCAGTAACAGCCTAGTTGATCAGGCCCTGATCCATCGGGAGGCCTGGTCATGGACCGGGCCGTGGGGGCGTTGATCCCCGGAATAACCTCCAGGTAACATTAGGGATAAAGAATTTTCAAACTGAAAAAGAAATACGTTACCAGAATACACACCAAGGAGCACTACTGTTAATTGCGAAACTCGTAAGTTAGCTTTGAAGTAAACACCTGAAAGTTAAATCAGCTAAATCTTTTTAAGAAAGTTGGTACAAAATATCTAGATTATTATAATCATATTACTTCTAGTAGTTGTCACAGAATAGAAAGTTCCCAAGTTTTTTTTATTAATATACAGTGCCACAAATAAAGTAAAAATTTAAAATGCTGTATAACTCCGTGAATTAAGAAAATTCAAATGTTTTAATTCATGGAAGAGTCAGCAGATACTTTTAACTTTAAGAATAATTTAATACTTGCATTAATGTTGGCTTGAGTATCATGAGGTAATACTAGTTCCTCTAAGGATGCGACTTACAGCAAGTGTAAATACCACTAAGACAACAACTATGAAAATGTCTTCAAGATGGATAGAGGTGCAACAGGAAATTTGTACTTAGTTAACTCACATTCCATTAAAATTTTCAAGATAATTGAAAGCATTGTTAATATGAATATACTACATATATTCAAAACAAACATTACCAAACAAATGTGTTCACATTCCTTCAAATGGTGCCAAGTAAACATACCATTTTTTTTCCTCTTGTGCTCTACACAAACTTTTCTAAGGCTTTCATACAGTGCCAATAAATGATTAGCCTTGAAATTTTGAGCACTTTGCAGTACTGATGAATAAGACGCATGCAGCACTTGGGCAGCTTTATTAATGAGATGCCAATCCATGGCTTTTTCAATCCAATACTGAAAATTATGTGCTGCAGACAGTAGAATACTTAGAGAGGTAATTTTGAGGTGTTCTGTCCCTCAGCCTTCATAAGTGTTCTGTCCGTTATCCTTGATAAATTGAAAGCAGATGCATGGAGAAGGAGACTTGTATACTTGAACCAGATGAGAGCTGCAGTAATTGAGAACATCCCACTTGGATAGGGCCTACCAGTGGAATCAAGTCCTACCAAAGAGATGGGCCAGAGATTAGGAGCAGACTTGTAGAAGATATCCTTTGTACGAAGACCCCATGGAGTTGCTGTGTCAGACAAGAATCATTGTTAATAGTATGCAGTAAAGATACCCAAGTGTTCCATGTCTTAATCAGCTTGTTGCTATTTTATACCATTATTATAACAACACAGTACTTTGAGATTCATTTAGAGATTTAGCCTCCTCATAGATGATGTCACTCATGTTTGAGCCAAAATACCTATGACTGCCACGCAAAATTACCAATATAAATTTATAATGGTCTTAATACTAACATATACTATTTAATATGTAAAGATACTGTCATGGAAGCCACACATAAAGAAAAATACATTACATCACTGAAAAAGATTAAGACAGGGTGATGTAGGCTAAAATCTGTACCCTTGAGGCATGAAAGGGAATATCTCTGGACATTTTAGAGACTGAATGAAAATATCTTTAAACCAAGTAATCTTTAAAAATACCTAGCATTATACTTAAGAAAGGACATATCATGAAGCTTTATAATACATTTCATTCATGGAGAAGTCACTAACTCATTGGGGATCCATATCACTCATTTTTTAATCTCTTTGACCACTTCCCACCAAGGTAGGGTAGCATGATGATACTCTATATCCACACCATTTCAACCAAAGAAAATATTTTTCTCTTTATTTATGGACAGTGCTTGGGTGACAGAAATCAATTTAAGTACAATTTATGGAACCCTTTTTTCCCCACCATGGAAATGTGATACCGCTTTGGTGGTGTATATTGCCCCAGTTCGTAGCAGACTACACAACACCTCTTTTCCTAGCCTGCAGTAAGCCTGCTGAAGCTGTCAAAATAATGGAATGCCCCTCAACTTTAAAATACAGTAAATTTAGAACATTTAGCAGACAAAAACTAAGGGTAGCTTTTCAAAGACTGTGGCTATTGGGTAAATTCAGAAATGTGTATGAATTGATATACTATACATAAGTTATTACATTTTTTTCAGGATGATGAACTGAAGCCAGAATTATTGCAGGCATTTGAAAGGAAATATAGGAATAACAAACTGGAGTTACAAGAGAATTTCAAAAAATTAGGTAATGTTGAAGGATTCAGAGATGTTGCCAAGCGTGAAGCCAAAGAAAGAACAAAGAAAAATAGGTACATGGTGAGTTTTTTGCACTTTTATGTAAATTAAAAGAATTTATACATGATAGTTAAACTTGTTTGTTCTTTGTATGACTACTTCCTTTCATCATTGTGCAAGGCACAGAATACACAGAATTGTGGGACAGACTTAAACTAATAAAAGTTTAAAATATTATGTAGGAAAACATGGTAACATACAATAAGGATACTATAATGTGTAGGTACACAGCTGACATTAAACATTTTAGAAAGTTGCATAGACAGATTATAAAGTTCTTAAAGGATAAGCATGTGAATACACTTGTAGTTTATAAGTACAGAAACTTATAATTTAGTTTTTTCCTCTGTTATTTTTCAGCTAGGAAAACAGTTATAGCCATATGTCATCATACATACCAGTAAACTATATAGTATCCATCTCTTGTTTTGATTATCTCTGAATTGTAAGGCTTACTAAAGTCATGAAAAGGATTTCTGAAGTACAGTAACTTCCCATTTTCTCCCTGCCATATTTGAAATTGCATACATGTCTTTTTTTTTTTCTCCTGTAGATTGTTGATGCTTTCCGAGGACATATAAATGACACAGAGCCTGAAGGAATTGAAGGCCAGCCTAAAGTGAAACAGGATAAGAAGAAAGACTTGCAGGAATCTGATGGCAATGGAGAGATGAATAGCGCTCAGTCTACTATTAAAGTAAAATATTTTGATGCAGAGCTTCAAGCTGAAGATGTAAGATATTATCACTGTAGTATACTTAGCTCTGGTTTCAAGTAAGCATGATGGAGAGTAGAGAAAAATGAATCTGATACAAATTGGGAATGGCCACAGTTGATCTTTGCAGATGACAGTTCTTTTGGGAGATGCTGAAAAGAATTTTTGAAGGTTGGTGAGTTTTGAGAGGAAGTGTGAAAGATGGAAATTGAAATTGAAGACAGAAAAGAGCAAGGTAGTAAGAGTAACAAAATATTTGGGCAGTGAAAAATTGGATATCAGAATAGAAGGAAGTAACATGGAGGAAGTGAGTGTATTTAGATATTTGGGAGTGGATGCGTCAGCAGACGGGTCTATGAAAATCAAGTTGAACCGTAGAATAAATGAAGGAGAAGAAGATCTGTGGAGAGAGAGTTTATCAGTGGAGGCAAAAAGAGAAATGTACTAGAGAATACATGAGAGTGAGGCACAGGCTTTAAACACTGAAGGTAGAAACAGGCTGGGGACAGTAGAGATGTTATGTTTGAGGGTATTGTGTGGTAAATTATGCAACTACTTTGGAGAATAGAAATTAGAAGATGGTGTAAGGTTAGGAAAGGTATTATTCAGAGGGCTGAGGAGGGAATGTTGAGGTGGTTTAGGGATTTACAGATGATGGAGCAGAATAGAATGACTCAGGGTGTATTAATTTGGGGTAGAAGGAAGGAGAGGTAGGAGTTGTTACAAGAAGATGGTTTTAATTGGTAGGGACTTTAGCATCCAGCAGGCTAAGTGGGCGTACTAGACTGGATGAGTGGAGACAAGTGGCTGTTGAGATGTTATGTGCTTATGAACAAAAGTAGGGTAACATGAAGGGATTCAGGGAAACCAGTTAGCCATACTTAAGTCCAGGATGTGAGAGGTACACTGCCTGCACTCTAAAGGAGGGATGGGGTTATTACATTTTGGGAGTCATTTGAATTGACATTTACATGCATTTGGCAGTATAGTGATTGAATAAATGATAGTGAATCTTTCCCCTTTTTTGGGTCACCCTATTTTAGTGAGAGAAGGCTGATGAATTAAAAAAAAAAGAGAGAGAATTAGTAGGAGCCAAGCAAGCAAGTATTGTGGGAGGGAAAGAAGTAGAAAGAAAGCACAAGGATTAAAGATATTACTTAAATGCTCTTGTTATACATATTGCATGATTTATTGCACTGAATTTTTTTTAAGTGCTGTTAAATTGTCTGTTGTACACTCCATAAATTATTACACAAAATGTTAAGTCTTCCTTTTATCTTCAGGTGGAAGATGTGATAACATGTAATGGTGTCCCTTTGGAGTCGGAGAAGTATGTGTATGACATCTTTTATTCACCAATGGATATAGGTTGGACAGAATATATTTGTGAGTAAGTGCATTTATTCTGTACCCCTGGTAGTGGGGTACTTCATTTTTTTTTTTTTTTTTTTTTTTTCATTCGGACACTGCTTCACTTTTCTCTTCCTTCTGGGATGGTGGGGGAGAGCATTGATGAAAGGTGAAGAGCTGTAGATCCAAGGAACTGCAGCTTCTCTTCTCTTTGAAACCTGATTATCTCCCATTCCCCAGGTGCTGTAAGACCCTTCTGGGTTCAGTGCTTCCCATGAATATAATAATGCTGCATTTCCTTTTGAAATCTTGAAATTCATATTGATTTAAAATACATTCTTAAACTCCTCTCTGGCTGCTTTTCTGGAAGGGCATACATCATGGTCACATGTTGATATCCTTATCTGTAACATCACCCAACTTAGTCACTGCTGTTTCTCCTTCAAAAATAAAGTTGGCTAACTGGACTTTCACGAAGTCTTCTTAGGTATGTATTACCATGTTCACATTAAAACAGAAATCCCCAAATCATTCTCTTCAACTCACTTCTGCCATGGTGGTTAGTGCCTACATTCCTTACCTTCTTTAACACATTTCTTCCAACCCTTCATTGAATGTCCCATATGCCTCTTTTAATATCCTCAAGATTAATGCACTCTTAATCTTCCAGTCTTACCCCAGTCTTTCTACATTTTGATATTATTAAGCTATTTTGATAATCTTTCACTCTTTAAATTACATATACATTTTGTACTACCACAGCAATTTTTTAAATTTTCGTTTCCTATTCTCCGAATAATATTCATACATTTACATTTGATTGTGAGAAAATAGGGTTTAATGTTCTAACCATTTAAGTTATGAGAAATTTCCAGGAATGAATCTCATAAGTTGGGGTTCTACTGTACTGTGATTGACCTTAATTAAAGACATTTCTGCATCACAGGCCTTGGAGGCCTCGTAGTTTCTACCACCTTTCCAGGTTGTGTTTCAGTTGAAAGTTGGTTTGCAGAGCATTATAGGAGCCTCAGATGGTATCAATCATAGCAAATGTAGATCACCTGGTGATCTAAAGTTACAACTGCCTTTACTGAGTATAAAATGCACATATGAACTTTATTGAGGTCCAGGGATGTAAATATTGGTGTTAGGGTCAAAATGCAGTACAGTATCATACAGTGGAAGAGGGAAAAGAGGAAGAGGGGAAATGAGATTGGCATTGTAAAATTTACATTATGAATGTTTTGGAGAACTTAACATATTAATTAAGAAGGCACTGCCTGAATATTCATAAAGATATGTAAAATACTTGTAGGTAGTAGGTTGGTAGACAGCAACCACCCAGGGAGGTACTACCATCCTGCCAAGTGAGTGTAAAACGAAAGCCTGTATTGTTTTACATGATGGTAGGATTGTTGGTGTCTTTTTTTCTGTCTCTTAAATATGCAAGATTTCAGGTACGTCTTGTTACTTTTACTTACACTTAGGTCACACTACACATACATGAACAAGCATATATATACAAACCCCTCTGGGTTTTCTGCTATTTTCTTGCTGGTTCATGTTCTTGTTTATTTCCTCTTATCTCCCTAGGGAAGTGGAATAGAATTCTTCCTCCGTAAGCCATGCGTGTCGTAAGAGGTGACTAAAATGCTGGGAGCAAGGGGCTAGTAACCCCTTCTGTATGTATTACTAAATTTTAAAGGAGAAACTTTAGTTTTTTCTTTTGGGCCACCCTGCCTCAGTGGAATATGGCTGGTATGTTGAAAGCAAAAAGAAGATGTAAAATACTTGTTTTTTTCTTAGGTTTGTTTCTTGGTTAGTTTTTACAACTTGTATACCAGGGGATACTGTATGACTCTTGTGAGTTTAGTGCTTAGATTTGATTATAATAATAATAATTCCCCATGGGGAAGTGGACCAGAATTCTTCCTCCATAAGCCATGCGTGTTGTAAGAGGAAATTAAAATGCCAGGAGCAAGGGGTTAGTAACCCCTTCTCCTGTATATACAGTGGAACCTCAGGTTACGAATTTAATCAGTTCCCTGGACTTGCTCGTATCCTGATTTCTTTGTATACTGGGTCAATTTTCCTCATTTAAATTAATTGAAATGCAATTAATTCGTTCCAGCTGAATTCCTGCTCTCAGGAGTCATGACAAAATAACCCTAATATCAACTCTACGGTTTATTTATATGTCACAATTCATCTAATATGACATAATAAACAGTATAAATAACATAGAAACCTTATATACACTCTAGAATGAATAAAATGTCATTACATGGATGGCGGAGGGAGGAGGATTGTGTTCGGGAGTGGTCGCGCGTTCTCACTATGAAAACGTCAGAGATGTTATAAGAGAAAACAGAGTTTGTGAGGCTAACTGAATTAGATCTGGTGTACATACGACATTTACATACCTTGGAGAAGAAATGCAGAGTGGCATATCCAGTCAGGAGTTCACACTTTTCTTAAGAACTGCTATATACAATTTTTATGCTTGTCTTGCTACACTACGTATCTCCTGTGAGCTGTTTTTCTGTCAACCATGTCAACAGCAGCTTTACCATCTTTTAATTGACAGAGGTCCACTGCTTAGAAATTACTGTAATGCCCTTTGCTTGCGCTATAGCCTTTATAGGCCTCTGCTTTAGTATTGTACATATAATTATAATCATGGGGAAGCATTCAACCCGTAGGTACATATAGTAGAGGGGCTATGCTTGCACTCAACTCACCAAGTCCTCAACCTTCATACCTAGTCTGTGCTTATTAATCATTTCTTGCTTTAACCCCTTGACTGTCGCAACCCCCAATCCTGAGGTGTCTCCTGATGTCGCAAAATTTAAAAAAAAAAAAAAATGATTTTTCTCATGAGATGATAGAGAATCTTTTCCCAATTGTAATGACACCAAAAAATCAAAATTTGATGGAAAACTGATGGAATTATGCTCTTGCAAAGTTAGCGACCTCGGCGATATTTACAAATCAGCGATTTCGCCCATTTTGAACCCTATTTTTGGCTAATTCCATTGTTCCAGTTGACCAAACTCATAGCTATTTCTTTAGAACTCCATTTTTTCTATCGATTGAGCACAAGAAACTGCCCATTTACCAATTTCAACTACCCAATAACGTGGTCAGAAATTTGCAATTTGGCCAATTTCACGAAAATTAAAAAATGACAATTTTAAAATAAGGTCCAGAATGAACAATGCAGACATTCCTGGCTCTAAAATAACATTTTCTTTGTTCATCAGTCATGTCTCCAGGCCTCTCTGATATTACTCTTGCTTTCTACTTAGAATTTTTATTCAAACAAAAAATAGAAGATTTACTGTTATGCAGACTACTGCAATATTGTATTAATTGTACAAATAATGTCAACTCATTCATGACTGCATATTAGAATGGCTAGTTGGACATTTATTGGACAATGACAACATTTGTTTACTTTTGAACATCGGCAAAAATCAAACATTTTCCCTACTTTGAGCTCCATTTCCAGGTTCTTTTTATAGTAAAACCAATCAATATCACCATATTTCTATATGTTTTCCAGTCTATCAAATGAGACCAAGAAAACGAGAATAGAACCATAAATACTATACGAAAATAGACCACACGTCGGCATTTTAATTAAAAAAGCGGTCGTAGTTTTTTTTTTCTCATTATGCACTGCATGGTCCAGGATTTTTTTATAAGGTGCACACTGACCACACAGACCTATTTTCTCACATGTGGGCCTACCAGCTTTCTCCTGCTTGAATTTGAAGCCACTAGAATTTATGAGTATATATACGTCAACGCTCTTATATGGGTGTGAAGCGTGGGTGATGAATGTTGCAGCGAGGAGAAGGCTGGAGGCAGTGGAGATGTCATGTCTGAGGGCAATGTGTGGTGTGAATATAATGCAGAGAATTCGTAGTTTGGAAGTTAGGAGGAGGTGCGGGATTACCAAAACTGTTGTCCAGAGGGCTGAGGAAGGGTTGTTGAGGTGGTTCGGACATGTAGAGAGAATGGAGCGAAACAGAATGACTTCAAGAGTGTATCAGTCTGTAGTGGAAGGAAGGCGGGGTAGGGGTCGGCCTAGGAAGGGTTGGAGGGAGGGGGTAAAGGAGGTTTTGTGTGCGAGGGGCTTGGACTTCCAGCAGGCATGCGTGAGCGTGTTTGATAGGAGTGAATGGAGACAAATGGTTTTTAATACTTGACGTGCTGTTGGAGTGTGAGCAAAGTAACATTTATGAAGGGATTCAGGGAAACCGGCAGGCCGGACTTGAGTCCTGGAGATGGGAAGTACAGTGCCTGCACTCTGAAGGAGGGGTGTTAATGTTGCAGTTTAAAAACTGTAGTGTAAAGCACCCTTCTGGCAAGACAGTGATGGAGTGAATGATGGTGAAAGTTTTTCTTTTTCGGGCCACCCTGCCTTGGTGGGAATCGGCCGGTGTGATAATAATAATAAATATACGTCAAACACGGTACCTCGTAAGACGTATATATATGACCAAAACAGTCAAAGGGTTAATTCCATGAAAATCATCCTCTTTTTCTTCTCAGCACTGTCCTTTGCACTTGCTTCCTTAGGACCCATGGTTAGAAGAAAGAAATCTGGCGAATTAACTGCACGAAACGTAAGGAAATCACAAGAATTCCTTGCACTGCGAGGATAGCTCCATAAGCAAATGTGCACTGGTGAACATTGTGGTGGTGTTGTCAAACTAAATCATACGCAGTACATACGTAGTATTGTTATTATTATTGCACTATTACGTATCATTATATTTAATATTGTTATATAGTGTTATATGTAATTATTATTATGTATTATCATTATTATTATTAGTGCATAAGTATTATTATAATAATAATAATTATTATTATTATTAATTTAGGGACCTGGAGCACAGATCCAGTTCCCTAGATCAAGAGCCCCTCACCACATGTATGTACTACTACTACTACTACTACTACTACTAATAATAATAATAATAATAATAATTATTATTATAACAATAATACAATGTAATAGTAATAATAACAGTAAGGAGAAACTTCAAAAGGCTGCCAGTAGTTGGCACCACCATCAGCAAAACACAGGTAACCACTACTAGTACATTTTTCACCTGTCTAGACTTAAGTGTAGTCTTAAGTAGGCATTTCTGCCTGAAATGCCTCGGCATGATAGTGGCTTTCTTTGCTCCACTTATATTATGATATGTAAACACACATTGTAACCTTTGCAAAGAAATATATATTTTATTTGTTTATTTATATAAAGAATCTCCCTTGAGGGGGAAGTTCGCATCCTGAAATTTCTTTTGTATCCTGAAGCAAAAAATTGACCGAATGACGGTTCGTATCCTGAAAAATTCGCATGGTGAGGCGTTCGTAACTTGAGGTTCCACTGTATTACTAAACTGAAATGGAGAAGCTTTTGTTTTTCCTTTTGGGCCACCCTGCCTTGGTGGGATATGGCTGGTTTGTTGAAAAAAAAAATTAATAATACTACTATGCCAGGGAATGGGAGGTTTATAAGACAGTTTTATTTCATTAAATTGTGTATAGTGCAGTATGAATCAGGAATGCTTACCTCTGATGTTTTAGTTTTTTTGCACAGTATATATGTACCATATTTTAATAGTTTTACATTAAATATGAAGATGTAGATGATAATTTTTTGTGTCCATTAACTACTGTTCTTTTTTTTTTTTTGTTTAGTGTTCAGAAATATGATAATGAGCTTTCTGATGACGGTCCGGAATTAAGCGATGGTTATGATGATGAGGATGATGAAAATGAAGAAAGCAATTGGAGAAATGACTATCCTGAAGAAGAGGAGTCTCCTTATGAGTGAGTTATATGCAGTTCTGTTGATCATTAATGTTGTCATTTTTTTTTAGTCAATGTGGTCAGAAAAGCACTTTTCATCCCAGCTGTATTTTTATATAAAAAGGTCAGTGTATACCAGAGTAGTTTCCTTGCCTTCCTTTCCTTAGCAACATTGTTTAAATGCACATTACTATAATATACGTGCAATATACCTAAATTGATACTGAGTTCACAGTACCTTGAACAGCTTATGCCATTTTTTGTATTTTCCAATTGGTTATTGATATGTCTTGGACTTGCATTTTAATTTGGCCATGCTGTATTTGCTGTTCCATTATTTCAGAGATGAAGATGACTACCTGTGTAAACAGTTACAAAGACTACACACAAAACATAGTAAGTACTGTTTATTTGACTCACGAAATCGTAATGACACGATTGCAAACAAACCATACCCCGGCCGGGATTGAACCCGCGGTCAGAGAGTCTCAAAACTCCAGCCCGTCGCGTTAGCCACTATTGTGGCTAGCTGGTCTAGTGGCTAATGCAACGGGCTGGAGTTTTGAGACACTCTGACCGCGGGTTCAATCCCGGCCGGGGTATGGTTTGGTTTACTGTTTATTTGATATACACGACTCTTCTTTTCTGGTGCCATGCAGCAGTGAGTTTATATTATCATCTTGGGGAAGCACTAAATCTGTAAGGGTCATACAGCACCCTCAGAATGAGGAAAATCAAGTTTGATTCAATAAAGGGGAGGGGAACTCCAATTCCATGGATCAAGAGTACTTTGCTGTTTTGCGTGCTTTGCTATTTTCACCTTTTTTTTAAACAAGTGATCTTTTCCTTTCCTTATTTAGGATCATTTTAAATTCTGCGTACAAATTTCAGCACTGTATAACCCATATGGCTTTAGTGCTTCAAATTATTATATTATATTATTGTTTTTTGTACAAATTCATTGGCATGTTTACTGGGAACTTGTCTCTCAGATGTATGCAGTTGTATGCTTCGAATTCTGCCAAAACATAATATTGTTCTGTACAGTGGCACCCCGGTTTTCATCCTTAATCCAATTCCAGAAGGTCAGTTGAAATCCGAAATGGACGAAAACCGAAGTAATATTTCCCATAAGAAACAATGTAAATCCAATTAATCCGTTCCAGACACCCAAAAATATTAACAAAAAATACATTTTATAGAGAATAACTATAATTTTACATACAGAAAACAATGAGAAATAAATATAAAGCACTAATTTTAATGGATAAATGAACATTTAAATCACTACATACTTTTATTGAAGACTCTTGTTGGAGTATGGAAGAACAAGAACTGACAACTTCTCCACATCTTTGATTGTTTGTGATCTCTGGTTTGTTAGTATATTTACCCCTTTCAGCTTCCTTGATTTTTACTTTCTTCGGAACTGATTGTTGATTTGGACTTCCCATACATCCTGGTGAGCTCGGCCACACATACACCACTTTCGTATTTGATACAAACGCTTTCTTGAATTCTATTGTGTTTCTCACCTTCTTTACCGAAGGGCTGGCACTCTGAACTTTCTTTGGCCCCATGGTGGATGAACGTGCAGAGTATTGTTCACTCGACAAGTGACAGAGACAGACTGAGTCAGGCAGCAGCATCCTGGGCGGGTGGACGCATTTTATATGGACGATTTCCGAGTTGATGTATGAAACCAGAAGTAAAAAAATCACTGAAAAAAGTGGTCGAATATCGTACAATTCGAATTGTATGATATTCGGACTGGACGAAAAGCGGAGTTTTGCTGTAGTTACATATTATTTTAATTCATGTTTTTAGCATTGTTATATACTTTCTACTCTATATTTTGCAGACAGCCACCTTCTCAGCTTCTCTGTAGTTGTATTCAGATATGTTTAGCCACTTTGTTCATCTGTACATGCTTTTTAATATAGTAAATCTCCAGCTGACAAATTAAGTGTTTTGTAAATTGTTCATAGCTCATGTTCAGTACCTCCAACCTATTTTTCTGTTGATACCTAATCCATAAGATAATAGGGCCCCGACTTGACATTTTGATCTTGCGACATCAGCATTTAGGAACCAGTTACAGTACAGTTATATCATTGCAAAATTCTAACAAATTATTTAAAGTAATTTTATTTCCAAATGCATTAATACTTCATGTTCATTTTATTCATGTACTGTATAGAAATTTCACATTTGTTTGTTAGAGATTGGTCAGGAACCATTTACAGTTTTCTTAAGGCTGAATTATAAATTTGATCTGTTAGTGTTTACCATATTCATTCATATTGTGTATGTTCATTTGATGCATGTCTGGAGAACTTATTTGTTTGATAGAGATTGGTCAAGAACCATAGATGTGATGAATGGTTTTAAAACTGACAAGTTGAAGAATTGAGACACTTGTGCAACATACTTTAATCTTTATTGAAAAAACGTTTCGCCACAGTGGCTTCATCAGTCCAATACAAAGCAGGAAGGTACAAGGAGAGGAGGAGTTTGAGGTAATCAGTCCCTCAGCCTGGAATCAATGTATTCAGTCCATCACTTTTGTGAGGGGGAGGGGGAGTGTGTTGTCTGGCACTGGCACAGCAACTTTTTATTGGGTTATTAATGGTGTTAGCTGATTTGGTGTAGATTCCTAGGCACAAATACCATAGGTGAGATAAGGATAGATTAGAGAATAGTATAATATAAGTAGTGTTCTTTTGAGATACACAGTTATGTATCATGGAGAGAAATGCCTGCTGTGTTAGTTGTGAGTTGGGGTCTTACTCTATTCTGAATCTAATTTTACTTAGCAAGAATATTTACCCAACATTTTACCTTTACTGCTGTAATTTTTTGGTTGCAAATAGAATAAAGAATAAATTTTAAATGTATACATGTTAATTAAAAAAAAATATAAAAGATAATTTTCTACATTTCATTCTCTTCAGAACACTATATTAAGTCATTTCATCTCAGAGATCATAGATTTTCCTCTCTGGCCTGGTTGTGGACCAGGCCAGAGGGGCAGTGATCCCCAGAATACCCTATCTTTTATAGTTCTGTGTTTTTGTTTGGAAGGCAGCCGGTACTCGCAAGAAATTACCAGTAGTTGGTTCCAAACTGCACCATTTATAAGTATGAATATTTATAATGCAGATCTTCACATGTTGGGGTTGTTCCATTTAGATATCTAGTAAATGTTCAATAAATATATACAGGTGCTCCTTGACTTACGATGGGGTTACGTTCCAACGAACCCATCGTAAGTCGAATGTGAATATGATATGTTAAATGAGTAAATAACTACTGTCACTGAATAAGTAAATAAATAGTTACTGTAACTAAATACCAGTACTGAAAAGTAAATAAATGAATACAAGTTATGGACTTGCCACCTTCATGCTGGGTAATTATCTTAAGTTTCATCTCTAAAGTAATTGCTTTTGCACCATCATAAAGTCAAAATATTGTAAGTCGAACCATCATAAGTCGAGGAACACCTGTATATGTGCAGTATATAATTATAGTTAGGATAAAAGCCAGCATAACAAAAAATACTGTAAAAAGAAAACTAAGTTATCTTATGTGCTTTATTTCTTATGTCAGAATGCAGCTCTAAAAATATTCTCATCTTTTGTAACAGGTGATTCGGATGAAAGCTTTGATGCTGATGAATATGCTGATGGAGACTTCGATGAGGACGGAAATTATGTTTATTAAGAATGTGTTGCAATATACACTTAGAAAGTACGTACATACAGTATCGGGCAGTAAAGACAGTTGAAAAAATTTATGAATACAGCCTCTCCTTACTTAACGACAGAGTTCCGTTCCTGAGACCACATTGGTAAACAAATTCATCGCTAAGTGAGGAGCATGCTATAATGGTAGTGGGTTTGTGTCAACTGTCTTTGATATTATTTTAATGTCACCTTTGGACCATTTATAACATTTCTGGTATATTTTTAAATGTTTATACAGTAGTGTACTGTATATTGTAATAAACAGAATAGAGGAAATCAGCTCTAATATATACATTTGGGTATGCATACTGGTCAGGGAGCCCGTCGTAAGTCCAAATCATTGGTAAGCAAGTACGTCGCTAAGTGAGGAGAGGCTGTATTGCGGAGATTAATTTACGTTGGCTAAACATGTACTAGTTTTGTAATTTTTTTAATTAAAGATTATAATTTTTAACACACCTGTCTTTCACCAAGGTAGAGTGATCATAAAACACAATCATTTATTCAGTAGTTGCCAGAAGCACAGACATCACAATTCAAATGACCCTCCAAATTGCAATATCTACCCCTTCAGTGTGTAGGCACACACTACTTCCCACCATTTTCCCCTGAATACCTTTATAAATGTTACCTTACTCATACTCCAGTAGCACGTCAAACCATAAAAACCACTTGTCTCCACTCGATCAGAAATTCTCACATGAGCCTGCTGGATACTCAAGCCCCTAACCTCTCAAAACTATCTTTGCCATCCTCCCTCTAACCCTTCCTGAGATGGCTCCTACCCATTCTTCCTTACACCCCAGCTTTATACAGCCTCTTGATTATCCTATTCTGCACCAAATACCCTTACAACCTCAACAATTATTGAGTATATATATGTCTGAAACACTGGCTCATAAGACATATATATACGGACAAAACAGTCAAAGGGTTAATATATCAGGTATACAGACATCCACCCCTAAATGTGAGTACATTCACTTTTGTAGTACTTCCTGCAATTTGATATCCAAACTTTCATTGCCTAGATTTTTTTGCTACTCTTACCACCTTATTCTTTTCTATATTCACTTTTAATTTTTTTTTCATATACATACTCCCAGATTCATACACCAACCTTTGCAAATTCTCTAGAATCTTGCAAAAGGACTGCCATTAGCAGAGTAACTGTGAAAAGTCCCACTGTGCATTAGCTTCACTATCTTTTAATCGCTCACCTCTCCAAAACACTAGCATTCATTTCTTTTTACAACTCCTGTAACATCATACATCCCTGTCTAAGGCCTACTTTTAGTGAAAAATAATCTCTCTAACATATGTAACCTCAGCTACATTATCTGCATAAAAGCTCTTACTACTAGTTCCATACATTTGTAACATTGGTCACATTGCTTCCCTATCCTCCCTATTGGGTACTTTTCTAAATCCATAAATGCAACAAACAATTCCTCATCTTTATCCAAATATTGTTCACTTACATGCTTCATTGTAAACATTTGATCTACACATCCCTCACCCTTTCTAAATGTCCCCTGTTGCTCTGCAATTTTACTTTGCTTCACCATTAACTCTCTGAATAGTTGGGATAGACTTTTACCCAGTATACTCAACAGGCTTATCCCTCTGTAATTTCTTAAATGAATTCTTGTCCTACTTTCCTCTTATACAAAGGAACTGTGCATGATCTCTGCCAAGCTTTAGGTTATTCCTTTCATGTACCATATATAGTATATATTGAACACATACATGAGCCACTCCAGCCCTATATCCCAACTTGCATTTAACATTCTTACTCTTATAAAATGTTATTCCTCCCTGTCCAATGCCTTCAGTTACTGCCTCCATTTCCTCTTCAGCATTTAGCAGCTCCTCAAAATATGCTCTCCATCTTCCCAGTACCTCCCCACCTTCCAATCTAACATCTTTTCTCTTTCAATTTTAACTACCAAGCCCATTTACTCCCAGGCTTTCTGAACTTGTTAATTTCACTCATCTGCTAGTCTCTCTTCTTCACTACACACTGATGGTTACTAGGCCTATTGAGCATTAAACCCCTCAGTTGTATGACAAGTTTTGTTTTGATCTCTCTTCTTTCATCACACATCCAAGTAAGCACCTTGCCTTCCTTTCTTGTCACAATCAGGCAGGCATTCTGCCTTCTTTCCTCCCTCCCTCACCCCACACAGGCAGGCAGGCAGCCTTCCTCCCTCATCACACAGGCAGACAATCTTCCTGCCTGACTAACCATACTCCTAGGCAGGCAAGCTCCATACTTGACTGCTTGCATTACTCATTATTTGCTGGCATGTATACACCAGTGAGGGAGACAGTAGGCATTTTATTACTATTGATAGCATACACATATGGTCCAGTAAATTCCATTACTCATCCACACCCTGCTGTATTGTACAAAAGTTCTTTTGTGGTTTCTTCCTTATATGCTAGATCTCCAAGAACTTAACTAACATAGGTCTGACTGTACTGATTTTTATGTAGGTATGAGCATGGTCTTTAAATTTTGCAAGAGGCAGACAGAGGCAGTGATGTCATCCCTGAGAGTAATGTGCGATATGAATTTTACTATCATTAATAAGTATGGTTGGGCATATCTTATGAAAATGTAGGCAAACCCTCGATTTAATAGTCCTCAGTTTAGTGAACCTAAGAAATACTGGACAGAATCTGGTGGATCATTTGATTAGGAATCAACAGAATTCTCAGGTTTTTGTTACAGTCATGACAAACGATCTTTTCTTTCTCCATCACTATAAGGAAGTAGACCTGCCCTTCCTTTCCTTGGACCACACCTGAATGCCTCCCATTACCCTAGGTGTTGTATAACTCTTATGGGTTTAGCACTCCTGAATGTAATATTCTCCATTACCAGCCACCCACTACTCCCAATTAGTCTGTTAAATTGAGGTTTTACTCTACAAGTGTTTTATATTATAAAGTACCAGATTACCCTTGTGGGTTTAGTGTTTAGTTTTGATTATAATAAAGTACCAGTGCCTGCTTTTTATATTAAGTCATAGGTTGATTATATCATATGAAAATATGGGCTATATTTTACAATAGCCTCAACTACTATTAGACATCTGCAGTCATACATATACTACATGAACAAAAAGGCACAATACCGTGAATGGAACAATATACAAATAACCCGCACATAGGAGAAAAAACTTGTGGCGACATTCTGGTCCGACTTGGACGTCCACATTAACTAGTCATATCATAAGTTTTCTTTTGTTGTTGGTAGTAGGTTGGTAGACAGCAACCACTCAGGGAGGTACTGCCGTCCTACCAAGTGAGTGTAAAACAAAAGCCTGTAATTGTTTTACATGATAGTAGGATTGCTGGTGTCTTTTTTTCTGTCTCAAAAACAGGCAAGATTTCAGGTATGTCTTGCTACTTCTCCTTACATTTAGGTCACACTACACATGCATGTACAAGCATATATATACACACTTCTGGGTTTTCTTCTACTTTTCTTACTAGTTCTTGTTTATTTCCACTTATCTCCTTGGGGAAGTGGAACAGAATTCTTCCTCCGTAAGCCATGCATGTCTTAAGAGGTGACTAAAATGCCAGGAGCAAGGAGTTAGTAACCCCTTCTCCTGTATATATTACTAAATGTAAAAGGGAAAACTTTCGTTTTTCCTTTTGGGCCGCCCCGCCTCAGTGGGATGCGGCAGATGCGTTGAAAGAAAGAAAAAGAAAACATGCAAGATTTCAGGTATGTCTTGCTACTTCTACTTACACTTAGGTCACATTACACTTGCATGTACAAGTACATTTATACACACACCTTGGTTTACCCAAAGGTGTAGGGAGGCAAAAACTAAGTGCACTAGAGAATGGAAAAAGTACAGAAGACAAAGGATCCAGGAAAATAAGGAGATTAGGAAAAGAGTATGCACAGATAAGGAGGGAGATCCAGCGACAGTATGAAAACAACATACCATTGAAAGTCAAGTCTGACCCAAAACTGCTGTATAGCCACATTAGGAGGAAGACAACAGTCAAAGACCTGGTGATCAGGCTGAGGAAAGAAGGTGGAAAACTCACAAGAAACAATCAAGAGGTATGTGAGGAGCTCAACACGAGATTTAAGGAAGTATTTACAGTGGAGACAGGAAGGACTCTGGGAAGACAGAACAGAAGAGTACAACAAGGGATATACCAACAAGTGTTGAATGAAATACACACAACCAAGGAGGTGAAGAAGCTCCTAAGTGACCTTGATACCTCAAAAGTGGTGGGACCGGACAACATCTCGCCGTGGGTCCTTTAGAGAGGGAGCAAAGACTGTGTGTGCGCCACTAGCCACAATCTTCAACACATCTCTTAAAACTGGGCAACTACCTGAGGTATGGAAGATGGCAAATGTTGTCCCCATTTTTAAGAAAGGAGGCAGAATTGAGGCACTAAACTATAGACCAATGTCACTGACGTGTATAGTCTGCAAAGTCATGGAGAAGATTATCAGGAGTGGTAGAGCACCTGGAATGGAACAAGATTATAAATGACAACCAGCACGGATTCATGGAAGGCAAATCCTGTGTCGCAAACATCCTGGAGTTTTATGACAAAGTAACAGAAGTTAGACACGAGAGAGAGAGAGAGAGAGAGAGAGAGAGAGAGGGGTGGGTTGACTGCATTTTCTTGGACTGCAAGAAGGCCTTTGACACAGTTCCTCACAAGAGATTAGTGCAGAAGCTAGAGGATCAGGCACATATAACAGGAAGGGCACTGCAATGGATCAGAGAATACCCGACAGGGAGGCAACGAGTCATGGTATGAGACGAGGTATCACAATGGGTGACTGACAAGCAGGGTTCCACAGGGGTCAATCCTAGGACCAGTGCTGTTTTTGGTATATGTGAATGACATGATGGAAGGGATAAACTCAGAAGTGTCCCTGTTTGCAGCCGATGTAAAGTTAACGAGAATTAAATCAGATGAGGATGAGGCAGGACTCCAGAGAGACCTGGACAGGCTGGACATGTGGTCCAGCGACTGGCTACTCGAATTTAACCCAGTCAGTTGCAAAGTCATGAAGATTGGGGAAGGGCGAAGAAGACCGCAGACAGTATAGGCTAGGTGGCCAAAGACTGCAAACCTCACTCAAGGAGAAAGATCTTGGGGTGAGTATAATACCGAGCAAGTCTCTGGAAGCACACATTAGCGAGATAACTGCTGCAGCATATGGGCGCCTTGCAAACCTGAGAATGGCGTTCTAATACCTCAGTATGTCAGGCCCGTACTGGAGTATGCAGTACCAGTTTGGAACCCAAACCTGGTCAAGCACGTCAAGAAATTAGAGAAAGTGAAAAGGTTTGCAACAAAGCTAGTTCCAGAGCTAAGGGAAATGTCCTACGAAGAAAGGTTAGGGGAAATAGGCCTGATGACACTGGAGGACAGGAGGGTTAGGGAAGACGTGATAATGGCATACAAAATATTGCGAGGAATAGATAAGGTGGACAGAGACAGGATGTTCCAGAGATGGGACACAGAAACAAGGGGTCACAGTTAGAAGTTGAAGACTCAGATGAGTCAAAGGGATGTTCAAAAGTGTATTTCTTCAGTCAGAGTTGTCAGGAAGTGGAATAGTCTGGAAAGTGAGATAGCGGAGGCAGGAACCATACATAGCTTTAAGACGAGGTATGATAAAGCTCATGGAGCAGGGAGAGAGAGGACGTAGTAGTGATCAGTGAAGAGGTGGGGCCAGGAGCTGAATTTCGACCCCTGCAACCACAAATAGGCGAGTACACTCCTCTGTTTTCTTACTAGTTCTTGTTCTGGTTTATTTCCTCTTATCTCCATGAAGTAGAATAGAATTCTTCCTCTGATTTCCATGCGTATCATAAGAGGTAGTTAAAATGCTAGGAGCAAGGGGCTAGTAACCCTATCTGTATATACAGTGGAGCCTTGGTTTTCGTATGCCCTAGTCTGTATGTTAAATTATAGTTTTTCTCTATAAAATGTATTTTTTTTTTTTTAATATTTTTCGGTGTCTGGAATGGATTAATTGGATTTTCATTACATATTTCTTATGGGAAATGTTGACAAAAAATACATTTTATAGAGACTATAGTTGTACATACAGACTAGGGCATACAAAAACCGAGGTTCCACTGTATTACTAAGTTTAAAGGGAGAAACTTTAGTTTTTCCTTTTGGGCCACCCCTTGTCAGTGGGATACAGTCGGTGCGTTGAAAGAAGAAACGTTTTCTCGTGTGCAGATTATTTGTGTATGATATATATATTTTAAAATGCTAGTGCCTGCTTATTCTATTAGTCATAGGTTAAGAAAATTCAGTAGCTTAATTTCTTTTTTTTTGTGTGTGTGTAAAGGAATTTTATACATTAATGTAACAGGATTGCTTCTTAAGCATTTCAGTTGCTTCTCAAATTGCAGTGTTAAGAATTACTACCCGGTATTGATAATTTTATAATAAATAATAGCTGTCACTGAGAGGTATCTTTTGAATTAGAGTATCAATGTACAATTGAATTAATATTTCTCGAGGTTATTAAGCCCTTCCCCATGAATATAATATGGGAAGCATTAAAGCTCTAAGAGTCATGATACCAGGGAAATGGGGTTCAATGAAAGGAGACGAGAGCTTTCACTGGCTTTGAGGCACCTTAGAGTATACTGTTATACTCTTTCATCTCTCATTATTTCTTAGTACAAGTCATTGATATTTTGCTTTATTTATATATAAAATAACCAATGGACTTGTAGCAAATAACCATGTACAGTGAAATCTGCTAATGAGTAGCAGATGAAATGCCAAGACCATTAAAGTCAAATAATTCTACACCTGTTGGTATTTGAATGTAGGAAATGATACAAGGAAGGTCCAAACTCTTGATAAATATATCTATATACATATGCAGGTCACCACACGGAAAGAGAAACACAAATTTCCCTGGCTGTTTCCTGTATTTACATCGGGGAAATGTAGTACAAAGATGGGAAATCTGAATAGGAGTGCTGGAAATGTTAGAGAAATGTAAGGGGAATAATAATAAAAAATCCCTGAAGTGCAGTATAATGTTTAAGAGGCATCTGGTGAATCAATAGTCTACAGTGCCTTTGAACAGTAGATCTCTGACTTACAATATTACTTCAGTCTTCAAAACTGTTAAGTTGATTGATTGGTACACAGGAACCTATTTTTTCCCATAGGCACCTATGCTATAATTAAAGATGCATTCTTGAGTAATAATAATCTACATTTTTTTTTTTAAGTACCCCCAGGGGAGATAGTGATGCAGTTGAGAGGATATTAATCTAACTAGATTTATTCCCTTAGATCAAATCTAATGCCTCCTCTTTCCCAGGTGCAAAATGACCCCTATGGGTTTAGAGCTTTCTTCTGCTCTAAGAGCATTTAGCACCATACATGTGTATGGGGTGGCAGCAACTGGACTGTCAGAAAGAGGAGAGCATGGAAGTGAGACAGGAGTGGGATGGGTACAGAGTAAGAAAGTGATTAGTATAACTGAGAGGGATGGTGAGCTCCTGCTTAAATGTCTGCTCTATGTGAACATTAAGTATAAATGCTTTCAGTAAAATGGCAAAAATTACTTAAGATTTACTTTACATTAAATTCTAACTATTTCCACATCAGAAAAATGAATGTCAGTTACCAAAGTACTATGGTATTAAAATGCAACATTATAAGTCAGGGACCTACTGGATTACTGAAAAAAGAACAAGAGAAGGCATAACCTTTTCTTGTATCACAGTAATTTACAGTCACAATTACATTAAAATTAGAAAAATTGTATTGCACAAATTTATTATCTATGCATACCAATCTTTCGTTCTTTTCACGAGTGTATACAGTATATGTATGTACAGTATAGACTTTCCTGTGTGGAAGGTGCAGCTTGATTATGACAAACACCATGGCTAGAACCTTCAGCTACATTAAGTAGCAAAGATATGCCATACACCTAACAAACTAGGAGGCACAATAAATAGGCTTTGTATATGCAGATACTAAAGTGACAATTTTTTATAATTAAAATTTAAGTTTTATAATTTACCTCCTAACTACTGTACTACATTTTTTTAATATACCTGTACAGTATTCCAAAATATATATTTATGTATGTACATATATAGATTTTAATGAAATTACCAATTATTAATAAAGAGTAATGAACACTTGTCAATGCTCAATCAATTAATAACCCAGAAAAACTCAGAAAATTAATTGGTCTGTATATTTTGACCCTTTGCTTGGGTCTTCTTCAGCAGATACAAAAATGAGAGAATAGGAACTCACAGGAAGGTTGTGCCTCTCAACCATGCAGGTGAGAATGAGTGTCATGTCCATGCTCATCTGCACGGTTGAGAGATGCAACCTTCCTATAAACTCAAGTTTTCCTTTCATTTTTGTATCTCCTGAAGAGTACCCCAAGCAGTGGCGTGCAGTTCTGGTGATGCCTGGGGCCAATTCCTTGATTGTATGCCCCAAAGACTCAAGTATAAGGCCTAGTACTGAGAAATATTATGAGAAACAAAGACATTTTGAGTATGTAAACACAGATGAAACATGAAATAAACAGTTTATTAAGTTCTTTTCCCCAAATGATACCTCCTGTCACAAAACACGAACTACTACACTTTTTTACATCGGCTATGAGAAATTTTTTTCAATGCTTATTAAAGCCAGGTTGGTCAGTTGCTCCTGTGACATTGAAGATCTCAAGCAGCCACGTCTGCTTGTTGCTTCTGATGGATGCTCCACGTACATCATGAGCATGCATGTGGGGGGGCTGAGGAGGGGCACCATTTTCTCTGGACAGCAAGGGTACACCATGTTAAAGGAATAAAGGGCTAACAACTGCCTCTGTAATGCGGTGAGCCTCCAAAAATTGATTTATCACCAATGAAATTTCAAAATTGCTATCTTATTTACCCCTCTGACTGGATGTCCCCATTTGAATGATGCCTGGGGCCAACACCCTGTTGACCCCCTCTGCACACCACTGACCCCAAGAGGGGGCCAAAATATACACACCAATTTTGAATTTGTCTCCATGGGAGTTATTATTGAGCATTAATTATATATTAACAAGAGCAATGAAATATATCTCATGGCACACCAGGTACAAGTATTCATAAAACAGTCACAGTTTTACTTTGAGAAAAACTAATGAAATTATTCCATGATTTGTATTTTTAATTTGAGAAAAGTTGTTTAAAATCCTCAACATAAGGCAATGCCATGTGCCAAGTTAAAGCTTCAAAACCATTTGAATTCTCAATTCTTCTTTAATAGAAGATATTAGAGAATATCCAAGCATTTCATTCAGCAATGGAGACAGTTCAACAGGTAGTCCTTAGGTTGACCATCCAGAAGGCCACGGCCTTTACCAGGAATGTGGATACATTCCACGTGTGTTTCTTCCAGTAGAGAGCGACGTTTGTATAATACACCCGATACAAGAGAAAGTCGGTGCTTATTCTTCCTGGTACGCCTATTTACCTCAACTTTCACCCTGAAATGCACAAACTTCTTATCATGATCTTGATTAATGGTTACTGATCCTGTAAAGCAGCAACCAGGGAAGGCTTAACTGCAAGTACATAAAACTTAAAATCAGTTACAGGTAAGAAACAATATTACATTCATAGAAAAGTACTGAAACTTGATCCAAGGAACAGTGCTGTATGACCCTAGTGGGTTTAGCACTTCTGTTTGATAATTGATCCAAGGAAGAGGATAGCTGTAATTCCTTGATCAAAAGCCCTTCACCTGTGTCAAGGCATCTTCCACCCCATGAAGGGAAGGATACAGGTAGGGAGCACAGGCAAGCTTATCCTTCATTCATGGGATTATTTTAGCATATAAATTTATAAATGAAAACTGACTAGCAGTAGTTGCTGAGATTACTGATCTAATAGGCAAAAGTATTCAGCAATTTCTGTACACAGCAGTCACTGTAGCTTCTTCAGGACCCTTCATTAAAGGTGCCTGATGCTGGCGAGGGTCTCTGATTCAAGAAAGTGTACCTATCCTTCCTTGGATTGAACTTGACTGCTTTCTATTTCCCCTTGCTTATAACCTTTCTGGGTTTAGCTGTCCTTCCATGAATCTAATAATATAGCTTCAAGATGTACAAACTGACAAAATAAGGGAAAGGGGGAGAAGAATGTGTAAGGAAGTGCCCAATGCTGTAGTCAATGATACACTTGCAAATTTGCACTTTGACTACAGCAGATATAACTCCCCCAAAGGTAATAGTATCAATGGTGTGGAGTAAAACACCATTTCAAACTTTTAGGATATCATCAGACTAGGATAGCCTTAATACATCAGAAAATTGAGCATTACACAGTTTATTATTACTACTACTGCTACATTCACAGGTGGAACACTAAATCCACAGCTGGTCATACAGTACCAGGGGAATGGGGAGGAAATCAGATATGATCAAAGAAGTCTAATTTTTTGGATCAAGAACCCCTCATTGGCATCAAGGAACATTTTATAGCAATAAATTGGCAAAAAGAAATATACTGCAAGAGCAGACCTTCATTCATACAGTGTTTCACTGATACAAAGCTTTATAATCTTCAATTGAGGTTCCTTGATGTTGGTGAGGGACTCTTGATCCTAGGAATTGGACCTGTGCTCCAATTCCTTGAATCAAGTTAAGTTTGGTGCTGTCCCATAAATGTAATAATAACAAGGCTTTATCAAGAACATAAGTTAGCAAAGGTAATTACCAGTATTTAATGAAGAAAGTTATAAAAGAGCACTGCATATTGAGGTGAGGTAGGTTTGTTACTTAAGAGGAAAATATGAGCTAATAGAGGAAAGCAGGTGGCTGGTAATAACTATTGTGGAGAGAGATAAGACTACTTTGCCATGACTATAACAATAACATGATTCTATAACCAATGGACTTTGTCTGCCGTTTCCGAAACAACTGACCCAGCGAATTGTGTCCTGTATTTCTGAAGTCCATTTAATCGAGGGTTACTTCACAATAAAATACTATATTAACATCAGATTTTTTAAAATGTAAACCATTTTTCACCAAAGCCGGGTCATCTAAAAGATGACCATCACTTATTGCCTAGCTGTCATATCACTTATTAGTTCATAAACTTTTCAGTGGAGCATTAATAAGAATACTTACGTGTTCTCAGTGTTGTTATTTCTGTTGACTGCTAATGTAGTTGGTGAGATCAGCCTAACACTCTTAGTGGTAAACTGACCTAATAGAAGAATTGAAATAAATTTATTGCTTGTGTACCGAATTAGAGTATAATTTTTTTTTACAAATTTTAACTGCTTAAAATATTTTACTGTATATAACATACCTGATATAAAAACCAGAATATTTAATGTTATTGGGCCAGATTAAATTTAATATTTCATATTTATGTAAAGGATACATAATAAATTATTTATACATTTAAAGATATTATGAAAGATAAGTCACTATACCATGGCTGCAACAACTCATAACTAACCCACAACTTGAGGAGGAAGCTTTTGATGTTTTGGTTCGTCCTGACAATTATGAAGTAACAAGTTAACAGAATTATACTACTCATGGTCCTTTAAAAGATGTGCCTCTATGGTGGTAAGGGGTTCTTTATCCAAGGAATTAAATAATTTTTCCCTTCCCTGGATCAGGTTTAATTCAAGAAAAGAAAGATTTCCTTTCTTGCATCCCTCAGGTGCTCTGTAATCCTTAACCTACACTTCTCCATGACTATAATACCACTTTTGGCATGATAATGGTCCAGAACAAACTGAAATGTTTCCAATTTTTTTTTTAAATTTGTGGGCTAGTTGTGAACTTTATTATGTTATACGTAATCCAGCATCTTTAAGAAAGCCAACAGTGCTGCATGACATTGGTGGCTTAGCACTTAGTTTTGATAATTAAGAAAGCCAATCAGGCACTTCTATGACTTACCAATAATTCCATGTGTCTGGGCTGATAAGATTTGTTGATCCTTGATGTAGAAGCCAAGAAACTGTTGTCCACTTCTGTTTTTTGAACGAACTACAGCAAAGTGAGCCAATCCATCTCCCATTGTCACATGCAGATTCTGCTTTTTGTTTAAAACAATCATGACATCTCCATATCTTTGAGAAAGAAGAGATATTACTTCATATTGTAGCAATGTAAGATGGAAATAATCATAATTTAAATATTTTTTTTTTATCATTTTCAATCACAGTTAATGTAAGATGATGAATGAGTGAAGGAAACTTACATTCTTCCCACTCCTTCTTCCCAGGTGGAATTTTGCTGGCAGAACTTGCTGTCCTCGTCGTCCAACCTCTTCAGTCGATTACTAAAATCCCTACCATACACATTATTTTGATTGTTGATTTTGTTATATGAGAAATAATTGTCAGGCCTGTTGGTAATTTTGTTGTTAGTTCTGATGTAAGTGTGGTGAACATTGCTGCTTTGAGGAATATGATTAATTCCAAGCCCTCTCTTCTGCCCAGCTAGGCTCATTGGTTGCCTTGTTTTTGAGTGAAGTGTTCGGAGCTTCTTGTCTGGCCCGTGCTTATATCTTCTACCATTCTTTTTATAGAATGGCCACAAAGATTTAGTGATGCTTTTCACCTGCAGAGAAACCAAGCAAGCTTATTGAAGATATTTTATAAATAAATAACTAAATAATATATATGAAGAAACAGAAGGATGGATGGGGAATGGAGCCATGGTCAATAAATTAACAGTCTGTCATTCTACCATCTTGGCCACTAAGCTTCTAACAGAGACTGGATGTGAGAAAAGATCCACTGCAAAAGCTCTTGGGCCATAGAGAAGGCACCAGCTGGATTACAGTTGGTGCCTCTGAAGTATGTACAGGGAGGACCAGCTTTACAGCATTTCACTTTACAGTGTTTCACTGATGCAGCAGTTTTCAATTATACCCATTCATTTATTCTGACTTCTTATAATAAATATATGTATTCACCACTCACTTTAGTAATGCATACAGCAGAAAGGGTTCCTAGCCCCTTGCTCACGGCATTTTAGTCACCTTTTACAACATGCATGGCTTATGTAGGAAGAATTCTGTTCCACTTCCCCGTGGAGATAAGAAATAAAAACAAGAACAAGAACTAGTAAGAAAATAGAAGAAAACCCAGAGGGGTGTGTATATATATGCTTGTACATGAATGTGTAGTGTGACCTAAGTGTAAGTAGAAGTAGCAAGATGTACCTGAAAATCTTGCATGCATACGAGACAGAAAAAAGACACCAGCAATCCTACCATTGTGTAAAACAATTACAGGCTTTCGTTTTACACTCACTTGGCAGGACGGTAGTACCTCCCTGGGTGGTTGCTGTCTAGCAACCTACTACCTAGGAAAATATTTATGATAGTGTAAATATGTTATCAAGCTTTTATATGCATCTGAAAGAGAAGACTATGTTTCACTTTACAGTGATTTTTTGCTTTACAGCAGTAGCCCAGAACCTAACCTGCTGTGTCAGCAAGGCCCTCCTGTACAGAAGTACACTGCTTCCGAGCCTTCTCTATTAGAAGCTCAGTGGCTGAGATGATAAAGTGATAGACTGTGAGTGAAAGAGTGGATTATCTTTGTTTTCTTCTAATGAGAACTATGGGTCTGCAGTGGTTTTCGACTGTGATATATGGTGGATGCAAAACCACAATGTAATATACAGATGTACAGTTGTACAGAACTGTTGAAATCATCAAATGATGCACTAGAGGTACTAGGTATTAAACTGAAGAACAAGAAACTGGCATTTATCCTTGTATGTAAATCACCATCAGCAATGGTAGAGAAATTTATGGAATGGATAAGGAAGTTAAATAGCTGTCTTGAAAGCCTTGGAAATATTATCTTCCTTGGATATTTCAACCTTCCAAATGTTTAATGGTGGATGGTAGACAACAGTACCATCTAAAACAGTACTGTGCATTAGCACAGTACTGTTTTGCTTTGAACCAACAGATAACACAACCTTCTAGAAATGAAAATACATTAGCCTTGATTTTTATGAACAATGAGAACTAATCAGAGGCATGACCATCTCAAATACAATATACTGTACTCTGATCACAACCCCAATGAAGAACGGACAAGAATAAATCCATGCAAAGGAAGGTTAAGAAACAGCCCCATGAAGAGATATTCAGTAATTTTAACTTCAACCATCAGCAAACCTCACTAGGACAAAATATACAAAGAACTACCAGGCATTTCCTGAAAAAGTGTCTTGACTACGCTTAACCCATACCAATACATAGAAATGTTCTGCCGAGAAAGCCTACAAGGAGTCAAATGTTGAAAGAGAACATAGAAGAATGTACAGTAGGGTTAGTGAATTCCTTCAAAATAAACAGATGTCACAGTTAAGAAAATACAATCTGCACAGAAATTGCTGACAGAGCACAAACTAAAACCATCTACACAAAAGGAACAAAAAATTGTTCAGGAAATTGAAAAAAAGTCCTAAATATTTTTTATATGTATGCAAAATCCGACTTTTAAAAAAAATACCTCTAGAATTGGCTCACTACTCACAAGAGGTTTATGCACTTTTTAGTCAATCACTGACTGAAGACTGTTCCACAGATGGAACATCTCAATGAAGTTCCTCTGTCATTCTGTCTTTTTTTATTTCCTACTCTAGCCCCATATGTAAGCAACCCCAGTACCTGCTGGAAGTTTTTGAGTGTTGGGTAAAAAATAACAGTGTACTCTCAAAATTCTTCAAAGGTAAGGTAAAGGTATATACCTAATGTTTAAAAATCCCTCCCTCCTTTCTCTCTACCCCTACATTTTTCTCCCATCACTGATCAAGGCAGTTGTTGGTGTTACTAATGACTTTATAATGTACACCATTTTTATGTCATAACAGATGGCAAGGAAAAAGCCTTGCTGAATTATACATTAAATAACTGTACACATAATTATATTGAACAGTAATTTCTCACAAGTATCAAAATTCTTTTATTTCATATATAACACAATGCAGGTATTAGAGACTGTACCTGACGTGTTCCATCTTCTCCGAGGCAATCTACCTCCATGCGGTCAGGAGTAATTGTTATGTTAACTTTGCCAAGACGGAAGAACAATGAAGTAAAGTAAGTCAATCTTGGCCATTCAGCTGAAGATGTTACTTGACCGTTTACAATGATACCTATGCAGATTAAATTTATAATTTATGAGAATACTCACACAGTTTTTATATACTGTATATACATACATATATGTGAACACACCCACATACACACATACATAATGGCATTCAATTACTATGTTTTCAGAAGTGTGCTGACATCACAGTCAGAGTACCCTCCAACTACATCCTTTTCCCTCCAGAATGGAGGCAATGCCCTTCCTATCTCCAGGAGTTTAGCTCAGCTAACCAATATCCCTGAATCCCTTCATAAAAGTTCCCTTGTTCACAAGCTAGGAGCCTATCCATTAAAACAGCCACTTGTCTCCATTCATTCCTATCTAAACTCAAAAACCTCCTTCATTCCCTCTCTCCAACCCTTTCTAGGATGGCCCCTACCACTTCTGCCTTGCACCCTCTATTTCTACACTCTCTCTCTTGGTCATACTATTCTGATCCATCCTCTCTAAATATCCGAAAAATTTCAACAACCTCTCAGCCCTATAAATTATATCTTTGGTAATCTTACACTGTCTTTTAATTTGTATACTCTGAATTCTCTGTATAATACTCACACCACACATTGCCCTCAAAATTGACATCACTACTGTCTCCAGTTTCAATGTTTAAAGCCCATGCCTCACCTCCTGGAGGTGGGAGGTAGAGCCTGCACTCAGAAGTGTCACAGTTCAGAGGGTCATTTTAACTATAATGTCTACACCCTTTTGGCAAGACACCTACTACATGAATGATGGTGAACATGTGAATGATGGTGAACTATCAACTATTCCAAAACTGTATCCTTCCTTGCTTTCGCCATCTCTCACTTACCCTCATCCACTCATCTATAAACATAGATGTATATTTTTGTGGTCAGACTTTGATGAACCATGAATAAAAACCCAGTGTAAAAAAAAAAAATACCCATAATTGCCAGCAAAATAGGACTTGCTATGCACTCTTGGATCAATATGTCCCTCTTTCTGCCTATCAAGGCTCATGTGCTTATGGTCAGTCTGCAATACTGGAGTTTCACCTCATCCCTGGACTGTTCTAAAAACCTAATTTATTACCACAAGTAAAATAGGTATCCTTATGAAATCTCTCGTGTTTGAAGGCAACGTATGGTGTGAATATTATGCAAAGGGTTCAGAGCTTGGAGAGTAGGAGCAGGAGGTATGGATTTACCAAACACATTTTTCAAAAGGTGGAGAAGGGGTTGTTGAGGTGGTTTCAACATTTAGAGAGGGTGAAGCAAAACTGGATGATTAGGAAGATATATATATCCTGAGGTGGAGGGAGGGAGGGGGGGTAAGGGAGGGTCTGAGCACTAAGGGCTTGGACATACAAAGGGCTTGTGTAAGGATGTTAGATAGAAATGAGTAAAGGCAAGTGATTTTTATTTGACATGCTATCAGTGTGACAAAAAACAAAAAACACTTATGATGGAATTAAGGGAAACCAGTTAGTCTATCATAATTTCCCATAGGTGGGAAATACAGTGCCTGCACTCTGAAGGCGGGGTGGGAATGTTGCAAATCAGAGTTATCAGAGCTGTGATGTGAGGAAGCTTCTGGGAAGACAGTGATTAAATGTATGGCAATGAAATTCTTTTGTGTATGGTGGGGGGGATACCACCTTAACATGTTGGGAGACTGGCAGTGTTAAAAAAATATCCTCATTATACAGATGAGGGAAACTGGTCATTATTATTATTTTTAAGGAGAAATACTGAACTGTATAGGTCCTACAGTGCCTATGAAATGGAAGGTAATGAGCACTGATCTGAGGAAAAGGTTTGTAGCTCCATTAGCTTAGATCAAGAGCCTCATTGCTTTATGTTAGTTAGTTATAAATAATATGATTATGTTTTTTAAACATTCTGACAATGCTTTACATTCTAAATCCATGCTGTGAGACTATTTCATTCAATGGGTATTTATGCTCAAGACAGGATAATCACTGGTAGTAACTCTACCCACCTTTAAGAAAAATGAGTATTTTTTTTTTGTTACTGAAGCTCTGATGCTAAAGTAATTTCATACGACTAATTACTGAATACGTACATGAAATGCACTATTCTTCAACTAACATTCATTCAACTAGAGAGAAACTGAAATTTCCATTTTGCTGAGCTTGAGAGTAAAGTCCTCAATAAAAGTGCTAGTCTATCATAACCCACATTATTGAATTCTGAATTACATTACATTTAACCTACTTCCTCTATGCAAAGCATTCTATTGATGGCTCTGAAATGGATGCCATTTTATCTGAGAATCAGTTGAAACGCAAGTTGATCTATATGTTGCACAGAAGCAAAACTACCTCAAGGAAGCTGAACCAGTTCAAGATAATTACAGAAGCAGATGTAAAAAATAAAAAAAAGTTATTAATTTTGTACACAAAATACAAAGACAAAAGCAGGCAAAGCTTAAATCTTATTATCACCCTTTTTTTTTTTTTAAGAAAATCATCTATTCTCAATGGTGGCCATCTTGAGAGTGAACCATTTTAATTCATACACAGTAATAATGAAAATAGAAAGAGGTATTATGCTATAGTTGGATGAATTCATTGATCATAAAGCTGTCAAAATAATTGAAAAGCATATTACAGTACTAGGTAATCGGTTGGCGCCAACACACTTTCTGCAACTTTTTCTCATTTAAAAAAAAAAATTTGTAGCCAGTCCCTAGTTCTGTTTAGCAAGGAATAAAAAGTCATTCTGTTGATGTCACTAAAAGATCAAGGAGAAGTACAAAATGTACTTCTCCATAACTGGTAGAACTCATTCTCCTGGAGAAATTTTTGTTTCAAATGCATGTTTTAGATCTTTCCCCAAAGTGAAAGATGCACAGGATTACAGTACAGCAGTCATCCCTGGTGAATATTTTTCATCCAATAAAAGGTTAGCTAATTTTAATTGCCCTCATTCCCTAGTCAGTGCCGAAGGTCTAGTAATGTTCATAGGAGCGAGTTAATACCTCCACAAGGAAGGTGATCAAGTCTTTGCCACTGTCTAATAAAGTCTAGTCTCAAGCAAGGCCAAAATCTCAGCTGTTAGAAACCCATGTAAGACAATGGGTGGACAGCCATATCATCTGCTCAATCTTTCTCTAGGAATATCTGCAAGAAGGTGAAAGGTGATCAAAAGCAGTGTAATACTGTTGCTCTTTTTGGTAAACTAAAGTCTTTCTTGACTGGATGTATTAAATTAATGGTACATGTAAGGAATTTAGGAATAATTCCTTACATGTACCATTAATTAAACAATAACACAAAAGGATCAAAGGATGTGACCTTTAGAGAGTCCTACTGTTGGTAGGTACATTACCTGTGTTGGATAAGATGTACATCAGTGTGGATGATGCTCTGTTGCTACATGTATTTCTTCTGGATGTTGTTATACACAAGGTGTATGTGGAACCAGATGGTAAGTCCAGATATATGTATATAAGGATACATCTGTGAGCTTCCTTATGAAGGCAATGTGACTCACGAAATCATCATGACATGACTGCAAACCATACCACAGGTGGAGTTAGAACCCGCGGGTTCTAACCCTGCCCATGGTATGGTTTGAGGGCAGTATGTTCAGTGTTAGTAATGATGTGGATGACAAGTGTAAGGAGTACCAAAGTAATGGTAACTTATCTCTTGAAATTACACCAAAAAATGCAAAACAAGTTAATGTAGGACTTTTCCCCCGTCTGCACAATTTCTCATCAGATAGATCAGGAATGACACTCACTGGACAATATTGGTGCTAGGGGTCAAGAAACACAATGATCTTGGATAGCTACATTTGTCATCTTAAGTTAACTAGTCATGATGGTTCCTCAGACAAAGACTGGACTAATGCCGCTCTCAAAAATATAAGAAATCATGTTATTTGGAGAAGCCAGAAGTCTAGAGTGAACCATCTATAAATCCTAACACAGGTGCAATACATTCCACATGAATACTTCTGCATGTTAATGATTATGCAAGGTTGTCTGGTCTTGAATCCTTGGGGTTTGAAACATACAGGGAATTTCTGTCTAGCAAAGACTGACTGACTAGTGATTGATCAGCTGTAGAATTCTGCTTAAGTCATATAATGATATATCCTCTGCACATGCATCCTGGCCAATGAGATACATTAGTCCCCACTGGTATGTTTATCCCCACGTTATCAATACAGGTGATTCAATTCTTGTCTCTGTATTAATACAAATGGTTCAGATCTTTGTTTATGTAAATTGATAATTTGCATTTTCCACCTTAATATTTACAGGTAAGAAAAGATAAGATTTTCTTCGGATTTTTAACCCCGGAGGGTTAGCCACCCAGGATAACCCAAGAAAGTCGGTGCGTCATTGAAGACTGTAACTTATTTCCACTGGGGTCCTCAATCTTGTCTCCCAGGATGCAACCCACACCAGTCGACTAACACCCAGGTATCTATTTGCTGCTAGGTGAACAGGACAATAGGTGTAAGGAAACACGTCAAAATTTTTCCACCCTCTGGGAATCGAACCTAGGCCCTCCGTGTGTGAAGCGAGAGCTTTAGCCACCAGGCCACTGGTGCCTCAACTGTATTAATGGTTCTGGTAGTAGATTCCTAGGTGATTAATCAAATCCCGACCACAGAACACTACATTTCAAAGTATGAAAAATTACTTTCTGTGTAGGGTTTGATGAACCAATGAAACTGCTGCCTCCCCAAGTTGTCTGTTCATTTTCATGTCTGTAATGAGTGGGTGTTTTTGGGACAGCTCAATGATGAGGTGAAGTTTAATATAAGAGATGATCCATAACCATGTGAGCCCATGAAGATGGAAAGAGAGGCACACTGAGCCAAAAAAATATCAAGTATGGTAAGGCCTACATTATTGGCAATTATAGTCATTTATCATTTGGATTCTACTGGCATATTTGCAACAGTAGTGAGGAAGGGACATCTGCAGAAAAAGTTTTTAAAAGAACAACATTAATGTTTCAAGATCTTTATCACTATATTTCTTAGTGGTTCATCAAACCCCACACAGGTAATAGGTAATCAGAAACAGTTTTCCGTATTTCAAAACATGGCACAGTAATGTACTTTTCAATTCATTGATCAGCATTCAGCCCCATGTTCTGGAAAATATAAGCCCATCACCTTAGCCACTGGACCATAAGGTGAAGGGCTAGTAATTCCAGAGCATAAATTTGAATCCTGATCAGTCCACTGACTTCTTACATTTTTTGTTACAATTTTTCAACCCACAGTTATGTACTGTACACACACTACACTACTTCATAGATTTACACTAGATTCAATGATAAAATTACTTTTTAACACACATACAGTATAAGATTTCAGATTTATACATTACTGATATATTTTGATTCTCAAATATACCAATTACTGGTAACAATTTAATTTAATGTGGCAGATGTTGCAAATATATGGAATAGGTGGTAAGTTACTAAATGCTGTTAAGAGTTTTTATGAGGATAGTGAGGCTCAGGTTAGGGTGTGTAGAAGAGAGGGAGAATACTTCCCGGTAAAAGTAGGTCTTAGACAGGGATGTGTAATGTCACCATGGTTGTTTAATATATTTATAGATGGGGTTGTAAAAGAAGTAAATGCTAGGGTGTTCGGGAGAGGGGTGGGATTAAATTATGGGGAATCAAATTCAAAATGGGAATTGACACAGTCAGTTTTTGCTGATGATATTGTCCTTATGGGAGATTCTAAAGAAAAATTGCAAAGGTTAGTGGATGAGTTTGGGAATGTGTGTAAAGGTAGAAAGTTGAAAGTGAACATAGAAAAGAGTAAGGTGATGAGGGTATCAAATGATTTAGATAAAGAAAAATTGGATATCAAATTGGGGAGGAGGAGTATGGAAGAAGTGAATGTTTTCAGATACTTGGGAGTTGACGTTTCGGCGGATGGATTTATGAAGGATGAGGTTAATTATAGAATTGATGAGGGGAAAAAAGGCGAGTGGTGCGTTGAGGTATATGTGGAGTCAAAAAACGTTATCTATGGAGGCAAAGAAGGGAATGTATGAAAGTATAGTGGTACCAACACTCTTATATGGATGTGAAGCTTGGGTGGTAAATGCAGCAGCGAGGAGACGGTTGGAGGCAGTGGAGATGTCCTGTCTAAGGGCAATGTGTGGTGTAAATATTATGCAGAAAATTCGGAGTGTGGAAATTAGGAGAAGGTGTGGAGTTAATAAAAGCATTAGTCAGAGGGCAGAAGAGGGGTTGTTGAGGTGGTTTGGTCATTTAGAGAGAATGGATCAAAGTAGAATGACATGGAAAGCATATAAATCTATATGGGAAGGAAGGAGGGGTAGGGGTCTTCCTCGAAAGGGTTGGAGACAGGGGGTAAAGGAGGTTTTGTGGGCGAGGGGCTTGGACTTCCAGCAAGCGTGCGCGAGCATGTTAGATAGGAGTGAATGGAGACGAATGATACTTGGGACCTGACGATCTGTTGGAGTGTGAGCAGGGTAATATTTAGTGAAGGGATTCAGGGAAACCGGTTATTTTCATATAGTCGGACTTGAGTCCTGGAAATGGGAAGTACAATGCCTGCACTTTAAAGGAGGGGTTTGAAATATTGGCAGTTTGGAGGGATATGTTGTGTTACTTTATACGTATATGCTTCTAAACTGTTGTATTCTGAGCACCTCTGCAAAAACAGTGATAATGTGTGAGTGTGGTGAAAGTGTTGAATGATGAAAGTATTTTCTTTTTGGGGATTTTCTTTCTTTTTTGGGTCACCCTGCCTCGGTGGGAGACGGCCGACTTGTTGAAAAAAAAAAAAAAAAAAAAATTTTTTATTATCAATCAAAGGAAAGGTTAGAAATACTGATATATTAACATTTTGCTGGAAACTGAGTTATAAGCTTGAAACTGAGACCATGATTTCATGCTTACATACCTGAGACTGGGTCTCTGATCAGGTTCATGATGGCTCCGTTGTGGCCATGGTAGTCAAAGCAGAGTGGTAATTCTAGTCCTTGAGCGTACACTATGAAGTGAGGGTCCAGGTCAACTGAGAAAGATTCCTCAATGTTAAATGGTTTTGAAAAAGGCATTTCTAATGCCTAATGGACTACTTTAGGTACTGTGTATGAGAATATGGGAAGAAACTTTTATCTAGAATGTAAATTGATTAAAAAAAAATCACAGATTGAAAATGAAGACTAGAAGAAGTTTAGCTCCATCTAAGGCCAATTAGAAGATCAAATTTCAGGAAGTTGCATTTTTATAATACTATACATTATGCCCAGAAGACAATCTACTGTGAAAATGCTACTTTTAATATATACTATAGTGGTGCATCTCATACTGTTAATTCTTTGTCAATAAATGTTATTTATTCACTTATTTTTTAATATAAGAGTAAAGCTGCAAAAAAGTGGCTGTTGCAGAGCACATATCTACAGCATTTGGGACATGTCTAAAGATAGTACTGTACTACTTTTAGAGCACTGAAAGGCTCATGGTTACATCTGTGGCATTGGGGAGGCCCAGCTGGAATTATATCACACAAATTCTTCATTTAATGCCTACCTCTTGTAGACCCTGTCATGTAAAAGTGCTTATTTGTGCCAAACACAGCTTTGTTTAGTAACCAATTGTTACTCTAATGTTACTGGTATTGTGCACAAGCACCTGGTGCACACCTGAGCAGCTACAGTTATCAGTCAGAGGTGCAAGTAGGTAGGTAGAAAATCAGTGCCAGTAATGTAGCAAGGAGTCATTCAGCATTCAAAATCTATGTTTCTGCTACAGGGACCTGCAAAGCACTGCCAAAATCATTACACCCATGTCCCAAAACAGAGGAAGTGCCTTTCAACCATAGGTGGAAATTAATAAGGAAGCACCAGGAGACAGGATCAAAAGAAATACAAAGGATGGGTCCGATTCAGTTGACACGTTGAATGACTGGGATTTGATCCCCAGCATGGGTGGAAACGTTCAAATTTACTTAAGTGGTACAAAAATAATGTAGTTTACATGTAATGAAACACTGGTAGACACAAAAGAAAGCCACATGTGTGCAATGCATTTCGGGTAAACTAATTGTAATGCTTAAAGACTAATTTAAGAATTACACTAATAAGTAGGATTTTTAGACAGCAATCGCCCAGGGAGGTACTACTGTCCTGCCAAGTGAGTGTAAAACGAAAGCCTGTAATTGTTTTATATGATGGTAGGATTGCTGGTGTCCTTTTTTCTGTCTCAAACATGCAAGATTTCCAGTATGTCTTGCTACTTCTACTTACACTTAGGTCACACTACACATACATGTACAAGCATACATATATACACCCCTCTGGGTTTTCTGCTATTTTCTTTCTAGTTCCTGTTTATTTCCTCTTATTTCCATGGGGAAGTGGAACAGAATTCTTCCTCCGTAAGCTATGCGTGTTGTAAGAGGCGACTAAAATGCCGGGAGCAAGGGGCTAGTAACCCCTTCTCCTGTATAAATTACTAAATTTAAAAAGAGAAACTTTTGTTTTTCTTTTTGGGCCACCCTGCCTTGGTGGGATACGGCCGGTTTGATGAAAAAAAAAAAAAAAAGTAGGATTTTTTTTTATACAGTTCACCCAGCAGTAAGGAGGTACCTGGGTGTTAGTCAACTGTTGTGGGTTGCATCTGGAAGAAAAAAGGGGCAGTATTATGCCTTAGACAGAAGTGGGTTTTGAAATGAGATAAGGAAGGATAACAGCTTAGTTTATAAAACTGATGTGTGTAAAAAAAAAAAAATTGTGCTCAAAACTGTGCAGAACAGGATCTCCATACTTAAGCTTTGGGTAAGGCCAGCACTGGGACAGAGAGAGCAACATGACTAACAGTCTGTGAGACCAGACAACTTTGTCATTGCAAATATACATGGACAACAGAACAAGTAGTAACAGGCAAGCACAAATAAAAACTGCATGCTCTTTGCTATCACCCTCTGAAGGCATGCTGATAGCAGACATTCCAATGTTTATAAACAAATATAAGATTAAGTCATGTACTAAAGATGTTCTCAGAAAATAACTTACAATAATAAAAATTTTTTATTTATTTTTTTTTTAAACCGGCCGTATCCCACCAAGACAGAGTGGCCCAAAAGGAAAAACAAAAGTTTCTCTTTAAATTTAGGAATTTATACAGGAGAAGGGGTAACTGGGCCCTTGCTCCTGGCATTTTAGTTGCCTCTTACAACACGCATGGCTTATGGAGGAAGAATTCTGTTCCACTTCCCCCATGGAGATAAGAGGAAATAAACAAGAACAAGAACTAAAAAGAAAGTAGAAGAAAACCCAGAGGGGTGTGTATATATACGTTTGCACATGTATGTGTAGTGTGACCTAAGTGTAAGTAGAAGTAGCAAGACGTACCTGAAATCTTGCATGAATAATAACAATACTTTAGTTTCAATAAGAGCAACCAAAAACAATTTTTGAAAAGTTCATAGGATGTACATCACTTCCAGCAGATTTAAATTATGATAAAAACTGCTTCAAAAGATAATTAATATATTGTCTCCAGACTAACAAGATTAAAATCCATTAATTAAAATTCATAATTTTTCACAATGCTGGAAGCAAGGGGCTAGTAATCTCTTCTCCTGTATAAATTGCTTAATGTAACACTAAGGACTTTTGTTTTTCTTTTTGAGTCAACTTGCTTTGGTGGGATATGGTTGGTTAAAAAAAAAAAAAATCACAACTGATCTATTAAAGATTTTTTTTTTGTTTTTCAACAAGTTGGCCGTCTCCCACCGAGGCAGGGTGACCCAAAAAAGAAAGAAAATCCCCAAAAAGAAAATGCTTTCATCATCATTCAACACTTTCACCTCACTCACACATAATCACTGTTTTTGCAGAGGTGCTCAGAATACAACAGTTTAGAAGCATATACGTATAAAGATACACAACATATCCCTCCAAACTGCCAATATTAACTCATATTTTCACTGCTCTTCTTTACTACCAACCTTGCTCTTGTGGTCTATTACCACGAATATTGCTTCTACCAGTTCGTCGATAACCCGAAATGGAGGATTCATAGTAGTTATTAGGATGCCGGTTCCTTTCACGGTGGAGCTGGTCTTGAGGGGAAACCACAATGTACTCATCATCGGGATACACAACTACCAGGGATGTTAGTTGGGTTACAAAACCAAACTGAAATATATTGAGAGTCATTAACATGGGTTGTTATGTGTTTAGATATTGTATTCTATTTTCAACACTATCATACATACATCAGATCTGTTGTAATAATGTTGGTAGAATTCTGACAATATATTAGGTAAAAGAACACAAGTGCAACTAACACAGCATTTTAGTTTGGCAAAGTTTCACTCTCCAATAGCTTTGTCAAGCTTGACAAACCTCCTGGTGAGCAAAACGTTGCCACAATAAAATGTCGCATTAGTTGCATGTGTCCTTTCTCTTAACATATCCATTCTTTTTACAATAAAAAAGAAAAAGATAATGATACAGCAATAATAATATACAAAAACTACTGGAAATAATAACAATATAATTACAGTGAACCCTAATAATAATGAAATCAACCTAATATTAATGACCAAGATAGGGACTTGAGAAAAGGTTTCTCCAGCAAAATTTTTTTTTTTTAACTGACTCAAATTTTCCCTTCGAAGCCCATATTATAACCTGAGATGGAGACTGAGACAACAATGTTCCATATCTAAGTTCTATTACAGTATTAAAAAAAAAAAAAAATGTTTCTAAACTGTTGTTCTGGGCACCTCTGCAAAAACAGTGATTATGTATGAGTGAGGTGAAAGTGTTGAATGATGATGAAAGTATTTTCTTTTTGGGGATTTTCTTTCTTTTTGGGTCACCCTGCCTCGGTGGGAGACGGCCAACTTGTTAAAAAAAAATTTTTTCAACAAATCGGCTGTGTCCCACCGAGGCAAGGTGGCCAAAAAAGAGAAACAAAAGTTTCTCTTTTTCAATTTAGTAATTTATACAGGAGAAGGGGTTACTAGGCCCTTTGCTCCCGGCATTTTAGTCACCTCTTACAACACACATGGCTTACGGAGGAAGAATTCTGTTCCACTTCCCCATGGAGGTAAGAGGAAATAAACAAGAACAAGAACTAGAAAGAAAATTGCAGAAAACCCAGAGGGGTGTGTATATATATGCTTGTACATGTATGTGTAGTGTGACCTAAGGGTAAGTAGTAGTAGTAGTAGCAAGACGTACCTAAAATCTTGCATGTTTATGAGACAGAAAAAAGGACACCAGTAATCCTACCATCATGTAAAACAATTACAGGCTTTCGTTTTACACTAACTTGGCAGGACGGTAGTACCTCCCTGGGTGGTTGCTGTTTACCAATCTACTACCTAAAAAAATATTATTATTATTATTAATTGTAATAGTAATAATCATAATAATAATAATAATAATAATAATAATAATAATAATGCACCATCAACAAAACAGAAATTATTTTAAGTAAACACAGGACAGATCATATTAGGCAAACAGAAAAAGACAAAAAGGAATCTCAAAAATTTTCAGCTGCCATCACTTTAGTGGTAATGGGAGTTACGCTCCTCTTCCCTGATTCAAACCTGAGTGCCTCCCATTTTCCAGGCACTGTATGACCCTTTTCAGTATAGTGCTTCCCCATTGAATGCGAAGCACAGGAGAGCTAACATAATACACCTGTGCAAACATACCCTGAGAGCAATACGGAAGGCTTGAGCATGGAGTTCCTGGGTATGATTCACATTCTCGGAAGCATCAGCAATGGCAAGTAGATCCTGTAATGGGAAATATTTATTTAAGTCAACTTGTTCATTGAAACGATACTTTATGGACTTTAGAGCCACTGGATGTAATAAGACACAATATGCAGTTTATGGCCTTTTATTTAGAAGACATTTCTGAGTGCCTCTGCAAAGACAGTGATTATGTATGAGTGATGGTGAAATTGTTGAATGATGAAAGTTTTTTTCTTTCTCTTTTTTTTTTTTTTTTTTTTTTGGGTCACGCTGCCTTGGTGGGAAACAGCCAACGTGTTAAAAAAAAAAAAATCGTCCACCAGAGATTTTTGTTCACCAGGGATTTTTGTCCTCCAGCGACAATACATCTTGAAAAATGCCACAAACCACATTGTGTCTTATTAACATACTTGTTGGTGTATTCTACCAATGCTATATATTGAAAACCACTGAATTTACAGGCATAATGCTGTTGGGTATAGATGTAGTTACAGTATGCAGAACAAGCTTTAAGTTGGACTATACATGTATATCACTTGGGGAAGAACTTTACAAAATCATAAATTTGACTTAAGGCTCAGAATATATAGCATTTTTATACCCTTTAAAATTACCTAATACAGTGGACCCCTGGTTAACAATATTTTTTCATTCCAGAAGTATGTTCAAGTGCCAGTATTGACCGAATTTGTTCCCATAAGGAATATTGTGAAGTAGATTAGTCCATTTCAGACCCCCAAACATACACGTACAAACGCACTTACATAAATACACTTACATAATTGGTCGCATTGGGAGGTGATCATTAAGTGGGGGTCCACTGTAATGAACAGATTATATAAGATTGTTTGTGAATAAGAGAGGAAAATGACAGAATGAGAAATGGAGAATAAAAGAAATACATACTGTATTTCTGAGCTGTTAATCTTATCAAACTATTGAACAAAGTACCTCTACTCATACTGTCACCTTCACAATGAGGTATGCCCATAGTCTCGCTGTAAAGTTGTTTGTTAACGAAGTATGGAATGGATGACGTGCATCAACTCTGGTTACTGGGAATTGGTAGGGACCATCTTTTCCCATGCCATTCACTATTGGGTGAACTTCTAATGCCCCTGGGATTAGCAGACCAGCCAATACAAACTGAAAACGAAAGATGAAAAGCTTTTAGTGATTATATCACTACAACATTTTTAAGATTATCCAGAACAGTGCCCTATATACAGTAGCAAAGGAAATGCTTACATTTATTTTTTGAAAGATTTTATTGTTTCCTTGGTGCATCACTGTCCAATTATTAAGATTCTCAGAAAAAAAAATAACTAGAGGGTGACACTTCCCAATTTCAAGAGGAAGCTTCATTTTATAACACAAACATTTAAATGTTAAGCCACTGTAAAATATGTGTTCACTGTGTGGTTCTTGGAGGGACAGCTATATAGTGGTGCTAACTTTAATTCTGACTTAAAAATTAATACAATGAAGCAAAAATTTGGAGGATTATTTGGACTGTGATGTATGCCAGAAGACTTCTGGCACGACAGCTATTGAATGACTGTTAGTGAATGTGTTTCCTGCTTTTCTGGGGGGTCACCCTACCCAGGTGGGAGACAGTCAGTCTGGTTAGGAAAGGGATCGACGAGGTGAGGAAGCCTGGAGAGCAAATGAACTTAGCAGTCAAAAATGAAAGAGGGAAGATGTTTGGTGGAGAGATGAGTTGTTAAATGTTACTGATGACTGAGAGAAGGTGATTTCATGCTTGGGGCAGGGGAGGATAATATTGTATAGGAGTGAGGAGGAACCTGAAGTAGAAGTGGAAGTGGGGAAAGTGTGTGAAGCAGTGAATAGAACGAAAAGGGGTAAAGTGGTTGGGACAGATGGGATTAAGACAGATTTTAAAAGCAGGTGGGGATATAGTGTTTGAGTGGTTGTTCAATATATGCATGAAAGAAAAAGGGAAGGTACCAAGAGATTATCACATGCATGGTTAATTATATATAGAAAAGGGGACAAGTGAGAATGTAAGAATTATTGGGGACTAAGCCTGCTGAGTATATTAAGTAAAGTTCATTGTAGAATTATTAATGAAAAGGTTAGGGGCAAGAAAAAGAAGGAATGCAGAGTAGCAGGGAGGATTTAAGAAGGGTAGGAGATGTATAAATCCAGTATTTATACCGAGAATACAGGTGAGCAATACGTAGGTAAGAGTTAAGAACTATTTAATGCATTGATGGATTTAGAAAAGGCTTACAATAAGAGTGAATAGGGAAGCCATATGGCAGATATTGCAAATGGAAGGAATAGGAGGTAGGTTACTAATAGCAGCAAAGAGATTTTATGAAGAAAATGAAGGTCGGGTTAGGATATGTAGGAAGAAGGGGGGATTATTTCAAGATGTCACTATGGTTGTTCATCATATTTATATATGGGGATGTATATGAATGGAATGCTAGGGTGTGGGAGTAAAAGATGCTGAATCTGATGTACAGTGAGTGTTACCACACTTGCTCTTCGCTGATGACAGTTCTTTTTAAGGGATTTTGAAGACAAGTTGCCAAGGGTGGTGGACAGATTTGGGAGGGCATGTACAATAAGGTAATTCAAAGTGAACAAAGAAAACAAAAAGGTGATGAGGGTAAGAAAAAATCAAGGAATGGTAGACCAAATATTAAATTGGAGGGAGGGAGTGAGTATGAAAGAAGTGGCTGTATTGGGAGTAGATATGTCAGCAGATGGGTCTATGAAAAATGAGGTACCACAGTATAAATGAGGGAAAAACGATAGGTGTGTTGAGGTATCTATGGAAAGAAAGAAAAGCAAAAAACAAAATACACCAGAGCAGACTGGTATAGTATTTAGTAAAATATTTCAGTAAGATATGTTAAGTGTTAATTACTCAATGATAGAACTGGCATGTACATCCTAGAATGAGAGAAGTATAGGTAAAAAGGAGTGAATGAAATGCAAACATTAAAAACAGCAGCTCACAAATAAATAAGCACTGCTAACCTCCTGGCCTGAGTAGTAGTTTGAGATTCCTGGCCTCACTACAGTTGTTAGATCAACACTTGTTCCTGAGTACGTAATATCCACACCTTTTAGTAATGGTTTGGATATCTCCTTATAGAAGGCCTTGATCTGACTTGCCAAAGTAGAGCCATGGTGCGTATAGCGGGCAAACCCAGAACTGTCTCGACTGATTCGCTCAAGCAATCTAAAAACAAGCATATTGAATCCTATATACTACTAGCATTCTGTAATCTTCAGAAATTTAGTTTTGGAGCATTACCATTTTCTTAACTTAAGATAAGCATCAAATTACTTAACATATAAATTGTTAATGGGCTAGGATGGACCAAGAGGCTATTTAAGGCTTCCTCTCTAAATTGTGGGTTAATTACAAATGTCACAATCATAGTACGTACATATTGTCATTTTTTATTCTTCATAGACTAAAATTTCTCCCTAATTCTACACAAAATTAACTGAGAACTTACTTCATGTCGTTATTGCCAAATATGAAGCTGAATATGGGATGCTTATGAGAATTGGCTTCCTTCACGTTTTTACGGATAGTTTCTGGATCAGTCACACCGCTGGTGGCCTGTCCATCTGTGAACACTACTATCTGGCAAGAGGAGTGAGAGCTAATATCAAATTAATTGCAAGAATTTCAGAGCAATGATCACATATCTCCATAGATAAAAGATAATACAATATAGGTTTGTACCAGGTCTTACTGTAACCATCTGCTAAAATCAATTACAAAAAATCTTACATTACAAATATGTATTATCAATATTTATATTTCATACACTATAATATGAATCACTATTTTAAACAAATACAGTAAGGACAATACAGACTCTGCAATCAAGAAGTATGCAAAAGATACGAGTGCGGAAAGGGCCAAAGATGTAGGACATAAATGGTAAAAAAAAAAAAAAAAAAAAAAAAAAAAAAAAAAAAAAAAAAAAAAAAAAATGCAAGTTTAGACATGAAGGGCAATACAATCAGCATACAGAAATACACAAAAATGGGGATATACATATGGAACAGATCCCACAGGAATATAATAGAGCCTGAATGGGTATGTTTAATTAAGCCACTTTCTGTGAGGCTTTTCTGTGAAAATTACAGTACCTGCCAAAAGAATAGGCAAAATAAGAATTCAGATACTGAACATATACAATAATATTTTTGTCATACAGTATACAGTATTATAGATGGTTTTACTATTTTAAGTAACATATAAAATTAACTTCACTTGAAGATTATATATCATTACCTGTTTAATAGCCTGTGGATTATTATAACTATTAGCAGTTCTGATTGCCTGCAGTACTGCAGCATTGAGATTTGAATAACCCATGGATACCAGACGTTTCACTTTCCGTACACCCTTCTTGACCTGTTGATGCTCACCACTGAATGACCCAACGTTAACCACATCTGAGGAGAAGGCCAACAGCTGTGAAAGGAAAAGAGTAAAATAATAGAAGAAACGTCTTTCATATTTTGTGCACCATGTTCACACATAGGTTATCAATTGAATATTTATGGCAAGTGACTTTTTTAAAGATGGAGATACAGGTATAGGTAGTAGGTTGGTAGACAGCAACCGCCCAGGGAGGTGCTACCGTCCTGCGAAGCGAGTGTAAAACGAAAGCCTGTAAATGTTTTACATGATGGTAGGATTGCTGGTGTCCTTTTTTCTGTCTCATGAACATGCAAGATTTCAGGTACATCTTGCCTCTTCTACTTACACTTAGGTCACACTACACATACATGTGCAAGCACATATATACACACCCCTCTGGGTTTTCTTCTATTTTCTTTCTAGTTCTTGTTCTTGTTTATTTTCTCTTATCTCCATGGGGAAATGGAACAGAATTCTTCCTCCATAAGCCATGCGTGTTGTAAGAGGCAACTAAAATGCCGGGAGCACGGTGCTAGTAACCCCTTCTCCTGTATATATTACTAAATGTAAAAGGAGAAACTTCGTTTTTCCTTCTGGGCCACCCCACCTCGGTGGGATACGGCCGATGTGTTGAGAGAGATACAGGTAATATTAAATTGCTCTTCAATGTTAGATGTCACTGGCTACAAAAGAAAGTGTTATATAGCACACTGATTGCATCCTCTAATGTATGTTAATTCTTGCATGGGAATTAAAAGTTAACTACGTAGATGATAATTTATAATAACTTATGTTTGCATAAATAACTTATTATGATTGCTACCAGATATAAACATGTAAACAGTTCATTACCAATGTAACTTGTTCAGCTATCAAACTTTTGTGGCCCTGTCCCTGGACCCAGTATGTACCTCTGTAATCCTTTGACTACTTCCCATAGGATAGGTATGGAATGCATAATAAAGATGTTAAATTAACTGTAAACCTATGAGTTATGCAAGTATTAAAATGGAAGCCTGTTTAACAGTTTGCACTTACAAGAGTGATTTTCTGAACAAGACAACTTTGTATACTATGAATATAAATATATAATTCTACAACATCTGAAATAAAGCTTATTTAAATGCTGTATTGTACTTACTTCAAATGTGTCTTCTACGTCCAGTCCTTTTAAAATTGATGCCATGGCAGTCTGCAGAGCGTCTAATCTGCCACTGTGCATTGAGTAAGAAACATCAAGAAGAAACACTGTGTGGGTTTGTATCTTTGGCAGTCCCTCTGGGGAGAAGTAGTGTGTGAAGTAGTTACCAACACGCTGCAAACAAAAAAAAATCGACATAAGAGACAGTAATCTAAAAATAACACTTTAATAAACAAACAATGTAATGTAGTTTCAGCCATTCCCATTTATGTCAGTGTCAGTAAAATAATTCACTCTACACATCCTCCATGAAGAAATGCTGACAAAATGTGTATTGTGTATAAGAGGCTCTAAGTAGTGAATGAGATGTGCTATTAGTTGGTTGGTTCACTGGATTGAAAGTTTTTCCAACAACACAAAGGTCATTAAGGCTAAGCATAATCTGTACACCACCAGTCAATGATACTTTTATCTCTAAAATAAGGATAAATTCTCAGCATATATACACAGAGAGGTATGATAAGGCTATTGGAGCAGGGAGAGAATGGATCTAGTGGCAATTAGCAAAGAGGCAGGGCCAGAAGCTGTGACTCGACCCCTGCAACCACACATAAGCAAGTACCTCTTGGTGTGCATAACCATGTTCTTGGTGTTGCAATTTAATGAGTCATTTGTAATTTTCAATCTATGTCCCTATAGAAAGCAACAGCATACAAGATGGTTGTGTCAAGTATTAGTAACTGCAGATTGGTATTTGTAAAACAAACTGCTTTTAATATATTTTCTTATGGACTTGGTAAGTGCAGATGTTTGTAACTCAAACATTCATATGTTGAGGAACCCTGTATTACATTATGTATATATACAGCAAAGGGTGTAGCATATTATAAAAAAAAAGTGCATTCAAAACTCCTTCATAAAAAATGCTTGGAACTGAGGATCATCCAAGTCCCTTTGGAACCTTAGTATACAGACAGCTCTGCACTCAAACAATTTGGTATCTGAATGTTTTGTTCGGTAAACAAATTGCTTGGTAGTCGACTGTTTGCTCGGCATTGGACCAAACACGATTTGCCAGAACTTCCTGTAAACTATTTCGAGTTTCTTCGCATTTTTTGGTGTTTTTTTATATTATTTGTATAAATAAGTCACCCTGAGGCTTAAGAGGGTTAGGGATAACAGCCAACCAAAAAGAAAACTGGTTGGGAAAAATTTGTTCTGTACTCGAACAGATCGGCACTCAAACAGCCTTCTGGAACCAATTAAGTTCGACTGCTGAGGTTCAACTGTATATCACCATTGTATTAAAACCAGCACAAACCTCACGAGTCATACAGTTCTGGATAACATATTTTTTTGCAGGTTATATGAAGTATATATCCGAGCCTCTCTGCTACTCTACCTTAAAATCAATTAATACTGTACTCGTAAAGTACAGTACATGTCAAGGTCTCGAGAGGAAGTTAGCAAGTCTTCATTTAGACTATGTGATAACATACAAATTTTCATTTTAGAATATTCATGAGGGCACAGATATTATGAGCACATAAAAATGTATATTATGTACACTTACCTAGGATAATTAAATAATGCCAAACATAATTCAGGGCTCCAGTTAGTTCAGATTATAAATCATGGGTAAAACTATATCCCCATTACCTGTACTTCGCCACCATCAGGGTAATGGGTGATGTCATAGGATACAGTGAAGACTCCCTGTACACCTCTGCCAGTACCATCATGGGGATCATCATGGTGGTAGTGGAGATACAGCTCCCCTAGGCTCATGGGCCCACCATGTACTAGGGAAGAAGAGGAGGTTATTAAAATTATGCAGTTTTAGTGAAGAAAACTAGACTATTATTTTTTAAGCTAGAAGACAATTGTTGTCATTTTTATTTCATTTTATTAGTATTATTATTATTTATATTATTATTATAAGTAAGTTTATTTAGGCATAGGTACACAAGTACAAGTATCATACATAGCACAAATTACCTAGGATGAACCAAAATAAAACATACATAATAGGTTGGTAGACAGCAACCGCCCAGGGAGGTACTACCGTCCTGCCGAGCGTAAAACGGAAGCCTGTAACTGTTTTACATGGTAGGATTGCTGGTGCCTTTTCTTGTCTCATAAACACTTGGGATACCAGGTATATCTTGCTACTTCTACTTACACTTGGGTCACACTACACATGCATGTACATGCATAATAATATATATATATATATATATATATATATATATATATATATATATATTATATATATATATATATATATATATATCTATCTATCTATATATATATATATATATATATATATATATATATATATATATATATATACAGTACATATGCGTACATACCCATCTGTCGTTTCTTCTATTTTCTTAATAATTCTTGTTCTTTATTTCCTTTTATTTCCATGGGGAAGTGGAACAGAATTCCTCCTCCGTAAGGGTGTCATAAGAGGCGACTAAAATGCCAGGAGCAAGGGGCTAGTAACCCTTCTGTAAATTGTACTAATTGTAACACTTTTTGCTCGCTACTATAATTTTTTCAAATTCTAATATTTTTGCTACCTAGTTTTTTGTAATAATACATAATTAAAATTTGCCACTCCACAACTTATGTCTAGTTTTAAGTATAGGCTGTAGGCACTAGGACTAAGTCTGCCTAAAATGCTCAAGTAAGCCAATGACTTTCTTTGTGCTTAACAATACTTTATTAAATGTAAACTACAGTTTTTATACTACACAAAGAAATAAAAATTATGATTTGATTTTTTATTTTGATTCCTTGGATCAAGAGCCCTTCACCAACATTAAGGAACCTCCCTTGGGGTTCACAAGTCAACATGAACTAGTTCTTACCCACCTTTTGTTCCAGGATTGTGGGACGATATTTCTTGCCCGGGCATTTCAAGGATCTTGTAATCAATGATTTCTTCTCTTTCCATGATGTGGACATCGATGTTGACCATAGGAATTCGCTGAAAAATATTTACCTATGATAAGTTATGAGAGAGACAAATCTATGACTTTTGTTCACAAATAACCTCTCTTAGCCAACTTATGAGGATATTTCGGTCCGTCCTGGACCATTGTCAATGGACGACCCCCATACACACACACACACATACACACATACACACACACACACACACACACACACACACACACACACACACACACACACACACACACACACACACACACACACACACACACACCAGTGAAGAGGTAGGGTCAGAAGCTGAGACTCGACCCCTGCTACATGTTAGGAAGTACAAATAGACCTATGTCAACAACAACAGGCTTTCTTAAAACCAAGAAGGAAGTCCTGCATGGCACCCTGAACAACTGCCCAGAGGGCTGATGATGACAAACGTCCCAGAGTAAAGAAAACAGGGACGATTAATCACTAATGCTGAAGCCAGAGACAGAGAGAGAGCCACACAGATATCCCAGAACTAGCTACAAGCAGTATTAAAACAGAGAAGTGTTTCTGGGTATGCCCAAATGAGGAAAATCTGTGGACTAAAATCACAAGGGTATTAAAAGAGGACAACATCAAAGCTGCTTTCATAGAAAACCTGGAAGCTTTCTACAACAGATGGGAACATAAAAAGTCTGGGCTGAATGGTACTGCCCTTGATACTGGCCATGTAGTCAGAAACTGTAAGGCTGGAGATGAAGTCCTGGTAGTCAGTAAATGTGGGGCTGATAGTGCTGTCCTGGGAGACAGTAATGGTGAAGCTGGAGGTGCTGTCCTGGGAGACAGTAATGGTGAAGCTGGAGGTGCTGTCCTGGGAGACAGAAATGGTGAAGCTGGAGATACTGTCCTGGGAGACAGTAATGGTGAAGCTGGAGATTTTGTCCAGGTAGTCGGGAATTATACGCAGGAAGGAATAAATATAAATGACCTCATAGGGGACAGGAGCCATAGTAGGGAAACAAGTGTAGTCAAAGATAAGATAAAACCAATATTGCAAACTAGAAATACCGCAGGAAATAGCAAACAAGAGGACTCCAATAGCAATAGTGAGGATAAATTACCAAAAACAACTGGTGGGAGCTCCATTGTTGGTGCTAGGGAGGATAGAAGTAAGACAGGGAAACATGCACCAACAGGGAATACAGTCACAGAAACCCAAGGCAAGCGGAAACCAAGCCTGTGCACATACTATGCACTTGGTATCTGCTGGCATGGGAAATCTGGAAAAACAGATGGGACGTGCAACTATGACCACCCTAGAAAATGCCATGCCCATATGACAACAGGAAAATGCAAACTCCCTTCCTGTAAGCTTTTTCACCCTGAAATGTGTACCTCTTCAGTACAGGAAAGACTGTGCTATAACTTAAATTGCCAGGCATACCATCTAAAGGGGACAAAAAGATACAAAACATCCAGGCCATGGGAAAACCTGGGTAGCCACAGCCACTCAAGAGGGAGAGGTTTTTTAGTGCCAGGAAGGAAAAAAAACTGGCAGGAAATGGCAGAAATCGTACACCAAATCCAGTCATTCCTGGAGTGGAACCACAGTCGATGGCCTCCACTCCAAACCAACAGATACAGATACTAATGCCGGAAAAAAAATCCCCCCCAGTACCAACAATACCACCAGTCCAATAACATTCTTCCTTGCAAATATACAGGGTCTAAAGCCAGCAACAAACAACAAAATACCTTTCATCCGTGGACTGCTTGCAGAGGCAAAGGCAATGTTCGCGGCTTTCACTGAGACCCACATAAAGGATCACTTGGACAATGAAATATGGATCCCAGGTTACAACCTATACAGATGTGACAGAGTGAACAGGCAAAAGGGGGGGGTTGGCCTGTACATGGCAGAGTCACTTGTTTGCACAGAACTGCTTAATGCCTCAAATGACGTAGTGGAAGTTTTAGCAGTAAAGGTCGAGAACCAAAACCTAGTCATTGTGGTAGTCTACAAGCCTCCGGATGCAACATCCCAGCAATTCCAGGAACAGCTGTTAAAAATTGACCACTGTCTGGAAAATCTTCCAGCTCCTGCACCCAACATCTTGCTCCTGGGGGATTTCAACTTAAGGCACCTAAAATGGAGGAATATAGCAAATAATATTGTTGCAGTAATAACACCAGGAGGCAGCTCTGATGAAAACTCACACTCACACGAGCTTTTAAATCTCTGCACAAAATTCAATTTAAACCAGCAAATAATAGAGCCTACTAGACTGGAGAATACACTAGACCTCATATTCACTAACAATGATGATCTGATAAGAAATGTCACCATATCAAAAACAATATACTCAGATCACAACATAATTGAGGTTCAGACATGTATGCGAGGAGCCCCAGACCGACAAAATGAGACTAGTCACGAGGGAGCATTCACCAAATTCAACTTCAATAACAAAAACATAAAGTGGGACCAAGTAAACCAAGTCCTAACCGATATAAGCTGGGAAGATATACTAAGCAACACAGACCCAAACTTATGCCTAGAACAGATTAACTCGGTGGCACTCGATGTATGCACAAGGCTTATTCCTCTAAGAAAAAGGAGGAGTAGATGTAAATTAGAAAGAGACAGGCGCTCCCTTTACAGGCGACGGAAAAGAATAACAGAGCGGCTAAAAGAGGTCAATATATCTGAAATGCGTAGGGAGACACTGGTCAGAGAAATAGCAAGCATCGAACTTAAGCTAAACGAATCCTTTAGGAGTCAGGAATCGCGGGAAGAACTAAAAGCTATAAATGAAATCGAAAGAAACCCAAAGTATTTCTTCTCCTATGCCAAATCAAAATCGAGAACAACGCCCAGTATTGGGCCCCTACTTAAACAAGATGGGTCCTACACAGATGACAGCAAGGAAATGAGTGAGCTACTCAAGTCCCAATATGACTCAGTTTTTAGCAAGCCGCTAACCAGACTGAGAGTCGAAGATCAAAATTAATTTTTTATGAGAGAGCCACAAAATTTGATTAACACAAGCCTATCCGATGTTATCCTGACGCCAAATGACTTCGAACAGGCGATAAATGACATGCCCATGCACTCTGCCCCAGGGCCAGACTCATGGAACTCTGTGTTCATCAAGAACTGCAAGAAGCCCCTATCACGAGCCTTTTCCATCCTATGGAGAGGGAGCATGGACACGGGGGTCGTCCCTCAGTTACTAAAAACAACAGACATAGCCCCACTCCACAAAGGGGGCAGTAAAGCAACAGCAAAGAACTACAGACCAATAGCACTAACATCCCATATCATAAAAATCTTTGAAAGGGTCCTAAGAAGCAAGATCACCACCCATCTAGAAACCCATCAGTTACACAACCCAGGGCAACATGGGTTTAGAACAGGTCGCTCCTGTCTGTCTCAACTACTGGATCACTACGACAAGGTCCTAAATGCACTAGAAGACAAAAAGAATGCAGATGTAATATATACAGACTTTGCAAAAGCCTTCGACAAGTGTGACCATGGCGTAATAGCGCACAAAATGCGCGCTAAAGGAATAACAGGAAAAGTCGGTCGATGGATCTATAATTTCCTCACTAACAGAACACAGAGAGTAGTCGTCAACAGAGTAAAGTCCGAGGCAGCTACGGTGAAAAGCTCTGTTCCACAAGGCACAGTACTAGCTCCCATCTTGTTCCTCATCCTCATATCCGACATAGACAAGGATGTCAGCCACAGCACCGTGTCTTCCTTTGCAGATGACACCCGAATCTGCATGACAGTGTCTTCCATTGCAGACACTGCAAGGCTCCAGGCGGACATCAACCAAATCTTTCAGTGGGCTGCAGAAAACAATATGAAGTTCAACGATGAGAAATTTCAATTACTCAGATATGGTAAACATGAGGAAATTAAATCTTCATCAGAGTACAAAACAAATTCTGGCCACGAAATAGAGCGAAACACCAACGTCAAAGACCTGGGAGTGATTATGTCGGAGGATCTCACCTTCAAGGACCATAACATTGTATCAATCGCATCTGCTAGAAAAATGACAGGATGGATAATGAGAACCTTCAAAACTAGGGAGGCCAAGCCCATGATGAACACTCTTCAGGTCACTTGTTCTATCTAGGCTGGAATATTGCTGCACTCTAACAGCACCTTTCAAGGCAGGTGAAATTGCCGACCTAGAAAATGTACAGAGAACTTTCACGGCGCGCATAACGGAGATAAAACACCTCAATTACTGGGAGCGCTTGAGGTTCCTAAACCTGTATTCCTGGAACGCAGGCGGGAGAGATACATGATTATATACACCTGGAAAATCCTAGAGGGACTAGTACCGAACTTGCACACGAAAATCACTCACTACGAAACCAAAAGACTTGGCAGACGATGCACCATCCCCCCAATGAAAAGCAGGGGTGTCACTAGCACGTTAAGAGACCATACAATAAGTGTCAGGGGCCCGAGACTGTTCAACTGCCTCCCAGCACACATAAGGGGGATTACCAACAGACCCCTGGCAGTCTTCAAGCTGGCACTGGACAAGCACCTAAAGTCAGTTCCTGATCAGCCGGGCTGTGGCTCGTACGTTGGTTTGCGTGCAGCCAGCAGCAACAGCCTGGTTGATCAGGCGCTGATCCACCAGGAGGCCTGGTCACAGACCGGGCCGCGGGGGCGTTGACCCCCGAAACTCTCTCCAGGTAAACTCCAGGTAAACACTCCACCTGGTGGACCCCCAGGCCTAAACACCAGCACAGCTAGATAGTTTTAAGAATAGGTATGATAGGGCTCATGAGGCCAGGAGTGTTAAGTGGCTAGTGGAGGCAGGGTCAGTAGCTGAGATTTGACCCCCCCCCCGCAATCACCAATAGATGAGGACAAATAGGCTAGTACTCCTGAGCCATCATGTCTATACTACAACGCAAAACTATCCTAACAGCATTGTGGAAAATTTTATAGGGTGATTACCTTTATGTACCTCAACATTACATGCATACAAGTAACTCATTGGGAGACAACCATATTGTTTACCGTAGTCACCCCGTGTAGACAAGTGAGAAAACTTAACCACCTCTGGTTACTGCAGGTGGCCCCTCGACCCTCACAATCTTATCCATATCTATCCGAGACCAGTATAAGTTGGGTAGCACCCTCAAGTACGGCGCTACTAATTAATTGTGGACTGTATAGATTATATTAGTTTAACTGAATGAAGGGGGAAGGGTACGTTACACATGGATATATCCATCAAGGAAAAACACTTGTACGAAGTCTCCCTTATTATCAACGCACTAAAAAGCAAGGCAGGAGATTCAAATACCTTACCACCCTTTATATACAAAAAAGTGTCACAAGTACTATCACCAATCATTGCAACACTCTTTAACAAATCCATTGAATCCTCCACCTTCCCTACAGCTCTCAAAATAGCAAGGGTCACCCCGATCCATAAGGAGGAGACCAAACAGAGTTGAATAACTATAGGCCAATATCCAATTTACACCCTCTCTCAAAAATCTTCGAAAAATTAATTCATAAACGAATCTACTCCTATCTCATCTCCCAAAACATTCTCAACCCCTGCCAATTTGGATTCAGGCCTAATAAAAATACTAATGATGCTATTATACACATGCTAGAACACATATACACTGCAATAGAGAAAAAAGAAGTCCCACTGGGGATCTTCATTGACTTACGTAAAGCTTTTGATACAGTTGACCATGACTTGCTCCACGTAAAATTGTCACACTATGGTATTAGAGGGCACTCCCTCAACTACCTCAAGACATACCTCAGCAACAGAAGCCAATATGTGTACGCAAATGGGGCAAGCTCTTCCGCTCAACCAATTACAGTTGGTGTCCCACAGGGAAGTGTCCTTGGCCCTCTTCTCTTTCTCCTATACATAAATGACCTACCAAATGCTTCGCAATTACTCAAACCCACACTTTTTGCAGATGACACTACATACGTCTTCTCTCACCCGAGCCCAGTCACGCTAGCCAATACTGTAAACACCGAATTACAGAAAATATCTACCTGGATGAGGACTAACAAACTTACACTAAACATTGACAAAACCTACTTCATTCAGTTTGGTAACAGAGCTACAGATGTACTTCTTAACATAACGATAAACAGATCACCTATCACAAAGCTAACAGAGGGAAAATTCTTAGGAATCCACCTTGATAATAGACTCAAATTTCATACACATATACCTGGAGTTTACCTGGAGAGAGTTTCGGGGGTCAACGCCCCCGCGGCCCGGTCTGTGACCAGGCCTCCTGGTGGATCAGCGCCTGATCAACCAGGCTGTTGCTGCTGGCTGCACGCAAACCAACGTACGAGCCACAGCCCGGCTGATCAGGAACTGACTTTAGGTGCTTGTCCAGTGCCAGCTTGAAGACTGCCAGGGGTCTGTTGGTAATCCCCCTTATGTGTGCTGGGAGGCAGTTGAACAGTCTCGGGCCCCTGACACTTATTGTATGGTCTCTTAACGTGCTAGTGACACCCCTGCTTTTCATTGGGGGGATGGTGCATCGTCTGCCAAGTCTTTTGCTTTCGTAGTGAGTGATTTTCGTGTGCAAGTTCGGTACTAGTCCCTCTAGGATTTTCCAGGTGTATATAATCATGTATCTCTCCCTCCTGCGTTCCAGGGAATACAGGTTTAGAAACCTCAAGCGCTCCCAGTAATTGAGGTGTTTTATCTCCGTTATGCGCGCCGTGAAAGTTCTCTGTACATTTTCTAGGTCGGCAATTTCACCCGCCTTTAAAGGTGTTTTTTGAGTGCAGCAATATTCCAGCCTACATAGAAAAAAGTGACCCGAAGAGTGTCATATGGGTTGGCCTCCCTGTTTTTAAAGGGTTTCATTTTCCATCCTGTCATTTTCTAAAAAAATTTCCAAGATGTGGCATACTATCGAAGATACGGTACTATGTTCCACAGTCAGCCCTCCTGGCCCTTTTCACTCTCTTATTTACCCTATCTCCCCTGTGGAATTTGTGCAGGGGGTCAAAAAAATTTAAACCCATTCAGCCCACAAATTTACCAAAAAAAGGCTTGCAGTTGAAAAAACAAATTCTCATACAGGCAGCACACTCCACCAATATTCAAAACACTAACCTATCCCATACAAAACATCCATATTTATTCGCACCTATTACATACATAGAACACTTAACTCTGTAAAACCCCCCCCTAAAAACATCCCCTTTCCCAACCTCAACGAACACTGCCCAAAACACAAGGACGATCACTTTTTGTGTTCTCGTGTCCATCTACGCTATGAAAAAACTCAATGCAATAAAAGGCCTAAAATTTGGGAATTCATTACCTGTAAATAAAAAAAACACTACCATTTATAAAATTCAAATTCTTCTCAAAGATTCACTTACTCCTAAAAACCCAAATAAATACTAAATAACTGAATCTTATAAATTGTATACCCAAATGTTATCACAATTTATACCAAATGTTAAACCTAGGCCCCAATCTAACTTTATTTTTTTTTAAATAATACCAAACGAAATCTCCATTCGACTGAATGTACAGAAATTTGCATGCAACTTTGATGTCTTTGTAATACTCATTTGTGCTTTATATTATTGTTTACAAAAAGTTTTATCACTGATTTCATCATTGTTGTTAATTTTAAGTTAATTTTAAGCCAGCCCGTAAGCTTTGATATAAGTGGCTTTGGCAATGCTGCTTTTTACATAATCTCACCACTTACCCTATTCTTTTGGTCACTTGATGTAGGGTCACTCATAACCCATCCAATTACAACATACCCAACTGGCCAGTTCGTTGCTTAACTAGAAGGGTTTCTTAACTGTGGGGATTTATACCCTTTTTCCCATTTTATCATCTCATTTCGATTCCCGCAAACCGACACGGTTTTATTCAGCGGACGAGGTATCCGTCGGTTTTTCCCCGGTTTTTGAAGTCGTGACTCCATAAAGCTTTCACTATCCTCGGGAAGGAAAAAAGAGGTAAAAAAATGTGCAAACCCCAAACTGGGAATGGCAGTTCATATCGCTTCAACGATTCCTGAACTTAGTGTTATTATCACTGATTACATTACGATTTACAAGACGGTTTAATGTCTCATAATTATTATACACATTGGAGGCCACTCCATTAAGATTTGAGACCGATGAGTGATGATTAAATCACGGGTATTTTTCCCCGGGACACAGTCCATGGCGACGCGCCAGTCACCACCGGTCCTACCATTATTCACTCCTTTTACCACCTTATTTACAGCGGTGCCGTCAATCACGTTCCCTCACTCTTCGCCAGGGACAGTCACGACACTTCCTATTATGAAGTGAGGCCTATATTAATCCTTAGGCCGCCGTGAACGCCAATTTCCTGGTCCCATGTTTTCACAGCCTCTTAAACCCATTCAAAACACTGCCGCCTCTCCCATGCCCCGAGTCGACCTCTACCCCCGCACATCCGCGCATGCGCAAAGGGAACTCCTGGTTCTATCCTATTTTCATATACATTTTTGACCCATATCAACACATTAAACACCTATTAGGCACTATAGTTTCGGAAAATTAAAATATTTTCCACAAGCGTACTTAAATGATTTAGTTTAAATAACGGGGTCAACTAGTAGTTTAAACCCTCTAAATGACTGATTTAAATGGCTCTGTTTAAATGTTATACTTTAAAGGACGACATTAAATGGGCGAGATTTAATAGGAGTTAATGTTAAAACGTAAAGTTAAACTAAAGAGATTCAGGATTTCGGGACATCATGGGGAAGTACTAAGTTCTTAATGGTCATGTCATGCAGCACCTGTGAAATAGGCGGCAATCAAGTTTGATCCAAGGAAGCAAAGAGTAGCTATAATTCCTTGATTTAAGAGCCCTTCACCAGCATCAAGGCGCTCTCGTGAAGGGATGGATTATTATTATTATTAAGAAGAAACGCTAAATCTGTAAGGGTCAAACACCAACGCTTGTTGTACAGTCACCCTACCGGGGTAACTATACAACAAGCATATATAATCTTCACAACAAGCATATATAATCTTCAAAGAGTTCTTACACAAAACCACTTACTAACATAGATACAACCATTTTTAATGGAGTATATATCGACTAAAAATTTTCAGCATCTAATGATATAGATTTGAAGGCATCCCCATTATTCTCTATCTAAACGGTCAATACTCTTCACAATAGAGTGGGATATATACTCACATATCCTGGGTGAATATAGGTTGAGTACAGGTAGCTACCATCCACACGCTTCACCAGTTCTTCATAAGTCATGTAAAAGGTGACCGTCTCATGGGCAGCCACATTGATGCTCGCTACAAATTTCTGGACAGCATCATCCCTGTCATAATAAGGGAATGTCGAGTATAAACACTTCATTCTTCCTCCAGTATGATTGCTGATGCAAATTTTAAAAGTGAATTGAAGATCCAGTGGTTAAAATATTTAATACAGTTTCATATACAAAATAAATTATTATGAACAGTCCTGTATAAAAAATATGGTAAAAAATATTTACAATAAAAGCATCCGAGTAACGACTGTACACGACAATTAAAAGTGTTTCCTGTAATTTAAAATGCGCTATTCTCACTTTTAATTGCAAGCAACATAAGCGATCATTATGACAACGCTTCGCTGTGCACAGCTTTATCAAGATTCGAGCGAAACGTGGCCTTCAACTTGCATCTTTGTCCTATATTCATTTTCTGTGCGTCCTTGTCGGCAATGCGCCAATTCATGGAGAGATTAACAAGCCACGAGTTTCCTGATATTCGCTTGATAACCCAAGTGGGCAATAAATGAATACTTACACTTGCTCCACCACACCTGTAGTTTTTCCCTTCATCTGAGCCATCTCGTAGATCCTCCTGGATGCTGACTTCTTCCTGATGATGCCAGTGTAATTGGTGCCAGCTATCTCCCTGCAAAAGAAAGTAGGGATGTTATATACTGATACAGTATAGCGATAAATATTTATTCCAAAATATTTGTTTTAATTATTAAGGACTAATGGTTGATCGGTTAACGAGGTTTAAAGCCTATCGACTACACGAGGCTCATTAAGGTTCAACTTAACCTTTTCGCCACTAGACAAGAATAGTTTTTAATCCCTAAAATGTGGATTAATGTACACTATTAGCATATATACACTGGGAATATTTTTTCTTTTTGAATTTCCAAGGTAGACAGAATGACTGTCGTTTGAATTCTTTGTGAATATTAAAGCATTATGCAGAACAACCGCTGTGAAAAAATAGTGAAATTCCAAGTGCTTTCGTGACTTCTCACATTATCGAGGAACTATAAAAATAAAAGGTTAACAGGAAGGCGTATAAGGACGAGACTACACCTCACTGTCACCCACCCAACAATACCTGACTTTTTATGATGTTTTGTTTGTTTAATATCTTTATTATGCCCCCCATACCCATCCTGTGGGCGGTAGTCAAAAGATTACAGAGGTACATAATGGATCCAGGGACTGGACCCCAAAGTTTTGATATCTGAACTAGTTACAAAGGTAATGAACTCCAGGTAGATCTGGCCACAATCATGACAAGTTACAAAAGTAATGAACCATCTACACGTCTATACATGGCTACAGTCATGAACAAATTACAAAGTAATGAGCCATTCACATGTCCACACCCGGCCACAACTGCAATGAGCTATTAGTGCAAATATTACTTGGGTCTCTCTCTCACACACACACACACACACACACACACACACACACACACACACACACACACCACACACACACACACACACACACACACACACACGTGGTAGTGCTTTATATACAGTGAGCAAAGTCAAGGTATTTTTCCAGAATGGTTTGTAATATCACTGTGGATAAAATACTTTGCCATTTCTTGAACATTTCTGAGCGAGTTATCTCTGAATTCATTAATTTTATCGCACTCCAGTACATAATGATGCAGGGTGTGACAATAGTCCATTTGGCAAAGTTTACATTTCATTTGGTCTGATTCTGTTGGTGGTTATTTAACCTGCCTAAGATACTTGTAACCCAGCCGGAGCCGGGCGGTAGTAGTATCCAAGAGTCTGCTTATTTTGTTGGATGCACCATAGACATGTGGCTCCTCCTGCATGATGGAATGATGATAGATGGACTGACTGATGTCAATCTCCCCGAGTCTTAAGTCAATAAAGTTCAGTTGAAGTTCTTTTCGTATTATTGCTCTCAAACTGCTAACTGACAACCCAAGATTGTAATCTACTCCCTCTATGAGAGAGTATAACTTAGCCAATTTATCAGTTCTATCATGCATTTGAAGACCAATGTGAGATGGAATCCACAGCATGTGCACTCTGACGCCACTGTCCACAATCTTACCATACCTGTGTCTGGCTTCTGACACAAGCATGCCACAATTTATACTTAATGAGTTGAGAGCATTTATGGATGACAGAGAATCAGTTACAATTAAAGTGTCAACCTTAGATACATGGACGCATCTGAGTGCAAAGAGTATGGCAAACAGTTCTGTTTCAAGGGTAGAGGCCCAATTATTGATGCGTGCTCCAATTTCTTTGAGAGCCATCACTCTGTATAATAACAACAGTACTACCAGCTGCACCAGTGGATTGAACAGAACCATCAACGTAAATAATTTGTGTAAGAGTGTGCTGTGTGACTAAGCTATCAATACAGATTAAGGCATCCTGATTGGCTTCAAAGCGAAGCTTTGGTTGTGATTTAAGAAGAATTTTGGAGGGAAATGGAGGATTGGTAGTTTGGAATGGGGTAATATCCCATCGAGCGGGGGAAGTGCCGCTTGACAGATCATGCAGTTGGTTCATGCGGAGATCGGTTCCAGTTTTTTCGATCCATCTGGAGGGGTGTTCACCAGTGCTGAGGAAAGTTTGGAGGGCCTCTGTGCAAGGGTTTGAATGGGTTAACATAAGTATATTGATCCCAATGAGGATATTTGTTTCAGTAACACGATTTCTGATGCTTTGATTATTATAATCAAGGGGGAAGCGCTAAACCTGGAGGATTATACAGCGCCTGGGGGGGGGGATGTGGAAGGCATTCAGGCTTAATTCGGGGAACTGGAGCACAGATCCAATTCCCTAAATCAAGAGCCCCTCACCAACATCAAGGAACCTTCCTTGAGGGGTCTGATGCTTTGAATATAAAGTTCTTTCCGCATATTTAAAAATTTGGCAGTACGAGGGCATCCTAGGATGATCCTCATTGCTTCGTTCTGCAGTTTTTCCAGCCCTCCAAGCTTCCAGTCAGACACAAGAGCAAGTAGTGGCGCAGCATAATCAGCCAATGATCTAATATAAGCAAGATACTTCATTTTCACAATTTTAACATTAGCACTATACCCCATACCCTGGATGAAAACCTGCCACAACTCTAAAGTGCTCTCAGCCTTTGTATTGACGACAAAGTCTCGTAACAACAGGTCCAAGTAGTGGGACCTCAAATTCTAGATACCTGTATCTGGTTACATATTCTAGAAGAGACCCATCATGCAACTGGGTCTGGCGAACTGTGTCCCTCTGTCGTGGACGCCTATTGAGTATCTTTGTTTTATAAGTAGAGATTATCAATCCCAGATCCTGACATAAGGCTAGTACATGGTTATTAAGATTGTTTTGGGTGTTGGAGAATCTGGCGGTGTGAATCATTATAACATCATCAAAACTAATTATATAATGATGGGGCTGGCTACGCATAGCATTAATTAAAGCATTAATTAGAATATTGAATAGAGTGGGACTGAGCACACCTCCCTGTGGGGTTCCTAATTCAAAATCTTTAGTTACACTTCTATGTCCCTGGAACAACACAGAAGACTTTCTGTTGGACTACCTTGGTAGTCTTTAATCCAGCGGAGAAGCCATCCTCCAATATCCATTCTGGCAAGTTCACGAATGATTACATGTCGGTTGGTGTAGGTAGGTAGTCAGTGATCCATGAAACACAGCTTATATTCTATCCGTGTTTCACGGATCACTGACTACCTACCTACATCATAAATAGTCAGGTGTTTTTGGGTGGGTGGCAGCGAGGTGTAGTCTCTTCCTTATATGACTACCTGTTAAACTTTTATTTTTACATTCCTTGATAATGTGATGAATCACGAAAGTGCTTGGAATTTCACTATTTTTTTCACAGTGGTTGTTCTGGATATTGTGATATCACCTGTTTACTGTGATCTTATTGCATTAAGGTATTATGTAACGACAGATTAAGTTCTAGTCACAATGTACTGAAGGCTAAAAAACGTTTACTGACAACTGCAGAAAGTTTAAAGGAAAAGATGACGGACATATTGTATTACTTAATGCCACTTAAATATCACTAAACAACTACGCATGATGACGAATGGGGGATTAGACATATAATAATATGAAGAACATATATGCTATGAATAACTTTGTACGTTATTTGTGTATAAACTGCTTTTAATAAAAAACAGAATAAAAATAATCGCATATTTTGCTTGATTAAAGCCTACGTGTACACACATTGACTCACATAATAAGGGAGGAGACAAGAGCAGCATTGGGCATCGCAGTCTGAAACTGTAGCTTGGCTGAACGCCCATTAGTATTCTTCATTGCGGTGGTTACTTGCGTGACAGCATAGCGATGCTCAATGTTGGCATTGATCTTCAGGCTTGTTATCTCTCCCACAGACCCTACAATCTGTGGACAAAGTTGAAAATAATGAGAATGATTATTAAGAACAAATTAAGCTACCAATTAGCACCATTACTCCAACCACTTTTTACAATAGTGTATATATAAAATCAGGTTTACAAACTCATTTACTTTCCGTCTTAGCATGAGTACATAATCTGGATATTTTGTACGTAATATTTAACATTCGAAAAGGTCAAGAGAGGCCTGAGCTTGCTACCATCTGCAGCTCATAAGACTGCCATCCCCACGAGCCCCTTTGAGGCGGGGTAGATGGCAGACCAGAGGCCTAGCTTCTCCCTACGAGCCCCGTGAGGGCGGGGAATGTGGCTAGGCCTGGGGACACTTGGTCCCAAAGATGAGGAGGTACTGTACCTCCTCCCATGGGAGACTTGAGTCTCGAGACACTCCCCAGATAGGGAGCCAAGGCCGGGTCACCACTACTTGGAAAAGACCCGGGCCGGGAGAATACCGGCGAATAAAAAAAAAAAAAAAAAAATTAACATTCCTCGACATAGACCACTCATACAAGTTAGGCTAGGCTCATGTTGAAATGTTTATGTCGTATGGCTATATATTAACTAATTTTTCTGTTAAACCTTTAAAGAGTGTTTTTAAGGTAGAAATTTTAGAAAAAAAAATAAAAAATATTCAACCCATTACTTGGGCTTGAACCCATGACAGGAACAGGCTATTTGAGAGGTGAGAAACAGTTACTCGGAGACACAGATGGAAGTTAAAGACACAGATGAGCCACGGGTATGTTGACAAAAGTATGTCTTCAGTCTGGTAGATAAGACACATAAGCAACATTTAGGCAACTTTATTCCGAAACGTTTCGCCTACACAGTAGGCTTCTTCAGTCGAGTACAGAAAGTAGGCAGGAGCAGTAGAGATGTGAGGACGATGTAATCAGTCCATCACCCTTGAAGTCGTAGATTTGAGGTTGTCAGTCCCTCAGCCTGGAGAAGTTCTGTTCCAAAGCCTGGAACTAACTGAAGATCAAACGACAGTGTTGAAACTTAAATACTGTCCAAAGGAGAGGTGCAGAGTAGTAGTAGTGAGAATGTAGCCACTGAGAGGTCACGTCCCTCTCAGATCAAACAATTCTCACTTGAAAAGATTGTCCAAGGGGTTTTACCTTCTGTACCAAGACGCCATTGTGTTGCAGTGTCTGACAGAGTGAATATCAAATGGTATACAATACCGACAGGTTGGTAGATAAGACATAAGCTTATGTGTCTTATCTACCAACCTGTCGGTATTGTATACCATTTGATATTCACCATGTCTTCTGTCTCAAAGTGGTCTGGAAGTGGAATGATCTCGATGAAGAAATGGAGGAGGGAGGCTCCATACATAATTTTAAAAAGTGGCTAGTATAGGGGCCCATGAAGCTAGGGGAATATGTCAAGCAGCAAGTTAAGGGACGGGACCAGGATTATTATAATAAAAAAGAAGCGCTAAGCCACAAGGGCTATACAGCGCTGCAGGGCAGGAAGGAAGCGAGGGCATCAGGTGGCAAAAGGGAGGTGGATGAGTAATAGGTTACAGACAACAGCGGAGCAGTGGATGGTGAAAGGGTAAAGGGCAGCAAGAGACTGAGCTAGAAAGGGCTGAGGGGAGTGCGTAAGGTATCATCATCAGAGTTTGTGGAGTAAATCAGTCGTTGTCAAGAAGTCAATGAGAGAAGTCAGGATTAAAGGAGGGTCCATCAGCAAGAAGGGAAGGTAAAGAGAGAGGAGTAGAACGAAGACGGCGTTGGAGGTAAATTCTGCGTGCTCGTTGATAGAGAGGGCAGTCTAACATAATGTGGCTAACATTAAAATGGTATAAAATACCACATAATGTGGCTAATCGATACTGGAACTTGACACTGCTCACAGAGGTACAGGGTGCCTCTCCATGAGATACCCGTGAGTAAGACGAGTGTGGCCAATGCGAAGACGGGAGAGAGTGGTCTCCCAACCACGGCACTGATGACAAGAAGACGGCCAGTAACCTATGCTCGGTTTAATAGAATGAAGTTTGTTACCAAGCAGAGTTGACCAACGTTGCTGCCAACGGGCACGAAGGTGGACGGCACCAGGAGCAAAGACTCGACCCCAGCAATCACATATAGGTGAGCACTAATCCGAATACAGCCTAGGAGGCAACCCGACACGTACACTCACACAAGGAAGTAGTCTAGGAAAAGAATGGTATCAAACACATCAATGATATTTACGAGAGTTGAACCTTAACATTGCCTTTAGAAATGTCAACTAAATCTTCGGGGGTCCTACACATCTCATGTGTAGGGTCCTCGTGTCAGGGCTTCGTCCTGACGAATATTACAACAAATCTCATTAGCTCAAGTAGTAGCTCCTTCGGCTCACATCCGAAATAGCACTAGTAGTGAGTGCATCGTACAGTATGCACTACTAACGTGGTGTCCAAGCATGATCATCAAGCACCTCTCAAAGACAGAAACAAAACCGAAGGATCCAGACTCAACACTGAGCGAGATAGACGTATGGGCAAGTTTCCTAACACCTGGTGCCTCTGTTCCCTAACAGCAGATACCTAGGCATTAGTCGACTGTTGCAGGTTGCATCCTGGGAAACGCCCTAAAGATCCCAATGGAAATAAGCAGCTTATTGGCTTGTTTGGATAATCCTGGATTAACCCTCTGGGTTGTTAATGCAATTAGTCTTTTTCTAGAAGTGTCCAAGTAATATAATCCTGACTTCCTTGGGAGAGAGGAAAACCAGAAGCAACATCACAACATACAAGAGGTATTAGCATAAGGGTAGGCAGGGAGAGACTGAAAGGAGACAGCCAGTAACAAGGCAACAAAGATGAAAGTTTAAGACAATGCGTCATAAAACATTAGGAAGTACATTTTCTTCAGGGTGGTTAGGAGGTGGAATGATCTGGATGAGGAAAAGTTAGCTGAAAAATATAGCTGTGATTAGGTCTAAGAGGCTAGAAATCTGTAAAACCATGCACGTACAACTGAGAAAGAACACGAACACACACACACAAATTGCCCACGTGCGAAGGAAATGAAGTCACAGTAGCAAAAACAGTGACGGTACCCTTCCCATTTATGAACACGCACACCCACCCACATGCAAACACTCCCTAAACGTACTGTATACAGTTTATGGGTAGTAAACAGGACCAGTCATTAAAAATGGTTGTCGGTGAATTTGATGGGTAGACCAGCCGCGTTCCTTCCTCCCCCACCCCAACACTGCTACTGCACAAGCTAAACATTCATGTTTCAGGTCTCGCCATATTGCTCTATTTATCGTTTAACGTCTTAACTCTTACCCTTTAAGGTGTGGGTAAATACACAGAGATGTATACCTTTCAGTGTATATACGCTAAGAGTATTATAATCTCTACTCTAAGGATTCAAGTTTCTTGACTGGTGGTTTACAGGCGACATGCGGCCTCATGTGGTCGATAACTTTTAAGTCTATGATTAAGGCACATGTGTAACAACTGGGTATCTTTATTGTTAGAGCATTTCTCTTACACAGTAGGAGAAATGTTTTAATACAGAGGCAGCAGGCGTAGTAGTGAAATGAAGATATTATCAGTCCAGCCTTGGATAAATGAGGTGGTCAGTCCCTCAGCCTGGAGAAGAGTTCAGCTCCATGGGCCGTATTTTATACCAATTTCAATAACCTTTAAATCTAACACAACAATCCGCTTAGTTACACTTAAACATTTAGGATGATGTTGATCGCTGCAACACTTAATTAACTATTTCAGTTTCAGCTGAACTGTGCTCATTCTCTCTAAATTTTGCCGGCAAAATGGCGAACACTGCCAAATAGCGTCATTAATACCATGAGTAACCTTAAAACAGGTCAGACAATTTTAATGAAGACATAAAAACATTTTTTTTTACTGTATCCGGACATTTGGCCAGAGTAGCAAGCGTAAATACACAAAGTATCAGTTGAGGAAGTACGAATTAGATTTCCTTAAGTGTAGTATGAATAATACACATGTTCAGCACTCTGACATCTACTTCCGAAACGTTTCGCCTACACAGTAGGCTGCTTCTGCTAGTTACTGTGTAGGCGAAACGTTTTGGAAATAGATACAAAAACTTGGTCATATTCATCAAGTTGTCGGCACTGTTTACCTTTATTATGGTATACGAAGTGTATTGTCAAATATAGTCTAATATACTGCTAGAGTAACATACTGCGTCATTTTCACGCATTGTGTCCTTCCCGTTCATATATACACGTCGTGCCAAATATGTAAAACTTGCGATCTTGGCTTAAATAGCAACGCTCATCTTGTCATATAAGACAAGCGAAAATTTGTGTATGCAATAATTTCGCAAAAATCATTCTGAACCTAACCCAAAAAATATATATCGGTGTTTGTTTATTATTAAGTTATTGTAAACGCATCTAAAATAGAAGAAGCCTACTATGTAGGCGAAACGTTTCGAAATAAAGATACCTAACTGTTGCATATGTGTCTTACCTAACAATCTGTCGGTATTTTATACCATTTTAATGTTCAATCTGTCAGACACTGCAACACAAGGGTATCTTGGTACAGACCTGAAATCAACTTCGACAACCTCTACTAGTGAGAACGGCTGAATTTGAGAGGGACCTGACCTTCCAACATCTGCGTTCTACTAGTGACCTACGTCTCACCTCCTGGCGCTATATAAGGCTCCATCCTGTCACTTCGACTCCATATTGTTTCAGTCTTTGGAACAATGCTCTTCTCCAGACTGAGGGACTGACCACCTCAAAACTTTAAGGGTGATGGACTGATTACATCGTCTTCAAGTCTCTTCTGCTTCTATCAACTTTTCTGTACTCGACTGAAGAAGCCTACTGTGTAGGCGAAACGTTTCGAAATAAAGATACCTAACTGTTGCATATGTGTCTTACCTAACAAAATATATTTAGTTGGGTTAGGCTAAAATAAATTGCGCTTGTTATAATAAGGTTAGGTAAGTTTTCTAAGTTTCTTTTGGT